CGGTTGGGGAACGAACTTCAGTGCAGAGCTCTTTAGATTTGAAGCCGTACAAGCCTCGCAATGCACCCGTGAACAAAAGTCCGACCCGGCCCGCTGGCTAGACTGCTTGTCTGCTCTTGTCAGGAATCAATATATCCATTGTGCTGCATTTGGCATCAAGAATTCATGATAAATGGCTTGGGGCTTAGGATACAACTTGCGCGGCTGAGGGTATTTTGTGCAGACACTTCCGGGTGCACCCGCGTGCGAGTCCCCAAGAGATTAAGCGAATAGAGCGCTCCTACGGGGCCTACGTGAGCTGGGAATCATCCACAGGAAACTGCGTGCAGCATATGCAGGCAACTGGAGAGAGAAGGAGGCAAACAGAAGGTGCGTGGACAGCCGATTCACGTGAATGACACGCACACAATCACCCCCGAAGTAACAGCAACAACAGAAACAGCGAGAGCTGCGCCAAAAGCTGGGAAAGAACTCCCCACAACAATAGTGTTTCAGAGAAAGCGTAACACAGTAACAACTGCATAGGCAGCTGCAAGCAGCAGCATATGCAGCAGAAGCGCAAGCAGCAGCTGCTGTGTTCGTCCATCGGCTAAGGCGCTTTAGGTAAAGTGCCTTAGGGGACCCAAGGAAGCCCGAAAACCTCTTTTGCTTTTCTGGCACTGGCTTTGTCTACAACTAGTCTTTTTACTTCAAGTACATTTTTTGTAATTCAGCATTCAAATTCGGACGCATTCTAGCTAAATGAACGACATAGCTCAAAGGAGACAAAAGATACATCTGTTTACGAGCCATAAGAAAAAGCCCGACATCTCTGCTCCCCGATGAAATTGTTCGTGTCTATGCTGCTGCTGCTGCTGTTGCTGATGCTGGTGCTGGTGGACAGGTGGGGGTGTCTACGGAGCTCGCGCTTCTGTTGCCTCGCGAGGATCTCTCGCGCCTTTGCCGGGTCGACTGCAACCCGAACTCAGTGCGCTGATTTACAGAAGTAACCATATTGCTAAAATGCAAAGGTTCGACATCTTTTGCAATTTTCGTTGCTGCTCTGTTGCTGTGATTGCTGAGAATGTTGTTGAGGTTGTTGGCAGTGGAGGTGCAAGTGCTGGCGCTGCAACAGACTCTGCTGCTAGTATTCTTGCTAATGCTGGTTCTTGCAAATGTTGATGGTAGAAAAATAGCACACGAAAAAGAAAAAATAGAACACTGGAAGAAGTAGGATAAAAAGCAGAGAAACGTAAGGGCTCGGTAAAAAGGCGCAGAAAGGGATAGAGCAGATGCACTTGGACAAACAGACAGAAATTTGGGACTGGACAGAAAAACCAGTAGAAAGGCAAGTAGATACATTAATATGTTCTTTCACAGTCAGCTAAATATAAACATATCGACATAGAAACGTAGATGAATAGATTGGTAAATAGATATACAGGTACGTGTATTGGCTTGCCGATGAAGAAGTTAATAGACAGACGCAGAGGAAGAGAAAAACGAAACAAAACCAACACAAGAAATGAGGCCAGCGTTAAAGACAAGCACTTAGGGAGAAGGCCAAACAGCGCAGTCATGAGTCACTCAATAAGACAGATGTAAAAAAAAGAAGACAGACGAAAGGGGTAGCAACTCGCCCGCGTACCAGCGCTGGAACCGCGTATTCGGGTCCAACAGCAGTAGCAGCAGCAGCAGCAAAAGCTATACCTCCGTTTATTTACTGCACCGCATCAAAAGGAAAAATCTTGTATTAAAAAGAGAAAAATGAATGAGGCTGTTGTTGCCTCTAAGAGCTTTGCCACAGCATTTAATGCTTTTGAGAATGCTGCTACAGGTACACGTACCGTAAGGCCATCAGCACTCACTTTGTTGCTACCCTGTGCTACGCCTACCTGAGCTTTTTTCAAAGAGTTAAACGCTGCGCCCTAAATCGTAGACCCTCCATATATCTCATAATGTCTGGCACCATATGTAGCAGGAAAGTGCAGCAGTGTGAACTCGGTGACCGACGTAAATTCAATGAGAGCTCGAGAATAGTCCCGTGTCACTTTTGAATGCCTCTTCAGGGAGGGGCGTCTTGAGGCTGTGGATCGCTTTACCATTCCAATGATGCAGCGGCAAAGGGAGCCAGAACAACAGCAGCAGCAGGAAATGCACCACCTGGATGGAAAAGAGCTACAAAGTAAATATTCTGGGTGTGCTAATGCCTTGGCGGCCGCTACGATGAGAGCTGCCTGTGCAAGGCGAGCAGCAGCTGGTGCGGAAGATGCTGCGGCTGTAGCGGCGGCAGTAGCTGCATCAAACGAGGCAGCTGCAGGAACAGCCGCTGCCTCATTAAACGAAGAAGACAGAAGGACTGGACAGGAAGGGATCCCTGCATCTGAACTAGGGGACATATACACAGCAGCAGCAGCAACAACGAGTGCTGCTGCCCTTGGAGATGCGCTGAATGCAGCAGTGTCTCAGACGCTCATAGAGATTCTCCCACGAGAACGTGCGCCATACAAAATTGAACTCCTCAGGTCTAAGCTTCAAGGAATAAAACCTAAACCCTTAGCCATCAAATATGCCCGGGCACGTTAGTCTTAAAGCCTATAAATATGAAAGCCTAAGGCTTGGACGTTGCTGGGAAATCGCAGGTTGCCTGAGGGTTCCTTCTCTAGAAGAAGACAGGTGGCACCCTTTGGGTCATTTGAGTTACTGTCCTGATCGGCAAGCACGCTTCGAACCCCCTGAAGAGCTGACAAACGGCCAACAGCATCAGCAGCGGCAACAGCAGCCGCAGCAGAAGCAGGCCCTAAAGAGTTCCGCAGTTCGGCAAGTTACCTCTGCTTCCAGCTCCCCGAAACGACTGACAGGAAATGTAAAAGTTGGAACGGACAAATAGGAAAATGCTGCTGCTCTCGCTGCCGTCGCTTTTGTTGCTGGTGTCGATGTCCGTGTTACAGTGTGAACTGAACATGCTGTTGGTAAAGGCGTTGCCGCTGTTAGTGAAAATCCCGTCGCTGCTGTCTCCAAGCAATCCCCAAGGATGCTGCTGATTCCGACACAGTTTGTGGTATTGCTGCTGCTTATTTCCGCCGCGGAGGCAGCGGCAGTTGCAGCTGTGGCCTTCGCATCCTGCTGCAGCACCACCAACAACCGTGGCAGCAGCTACATTAGCCATAAAAACTATTCGGCAAGTGCGCAAGCCACATGCCACTGCTTCGACTGTTACTGCAGGCTGACCCTAAACCAACTGATCCAGAGGTGCTTCACCAAGGATCCCTTGAGATATCCCCTCGGACAGTTGACTTCGGCATCATCTCTCTGGAGTCAGTTTACTTTCGCCACGTCTCAGCTAAATTGCTCGGGACGCACAGCAGCAGAGTCTGCGCTAAGATAAAGGACCTACAGGGGCCTCCAGGGGTCATAGTCAAAGTAATTAACGGGACGCCGGGTCAGGTAAGAGAGCACTGCTGCTGCTGCTCTTGACTGGCGCTTCAGCGGGTGGAACAGCTGCTGGTTCCTCTGCCAGTGTAAGGAATGCGCTGCCGCTAAACAGTGAAGGCCTTGCTATTGCTGGTTCTGTTTCTGTTCCTGCTGCTGCGGCTGTTACTGCCGCTGCTGTTGTTGCAGGTGGCTGTTGGCCTCCACTGGCGATGTCAGCTGCGGCTGGAGACGCCCGCGCTTTGTGAGGCCCTCAGCGGGCTTCCCATCCCCATAACAGCCTTCCTATCCATCTCAACCCAGTTTTGTGAGATGTCAGTGCCCATTAAGGCATTACTTAGTACGCATAGCGACCAAGGGAGCTCCTAGTAAGGTTCGGGCCGTAAACAAGCAAGCGTCCCCTATCTTTTTGGAGTCCCTCCACCTTAAGTAAACGTCCCCATGGAAACAGCGCCTTTACATGCGCAAAACGTGGATGCCCGCATACGTACAGAAAGCCTAAGGCTTAAAGTACAGGGTTCATATTGCAGAAACTAGAATGTAGGGTTGAGAGGTCACGGTCCAGCGATATTGCTCAGGGTTTAGTTCTGCCAGCACAGCATTTGTTTGCACTTTACTGCCGACCCAGTGCATCTAGTACTGTTCGTGCTTCCCCATATTTTGACGTTCCTCTGTTCTTGCCTCCACCAAGTCTCTCCATCTGCCTTTTCCTTCTGTTTTTCCATACGAATATCTCCTTTTCCTGTTTCTTTCTGTCTCCGTCTATCCCTGCTTGTGCCTCTGGTTTGTCTCTGCTCTTTTTTTCATTCGTGCCTCTCTGTTATGTCACTTTCGCCATTTTCTTTTTGTTTACCTTCTCTGTGTTCCATTAGCCCCGTTAGTTCTCTTTCCTCCTTTTAAGATATTGATTTTAGAATGCCAAAGATAGTTGTGATTATGCTGTTCTTTCCAAATATTGGTAAACGAAAGTACACAAAAGTACACATGCACACACAGGTACGCACGTCTACACTCACTCCAATGTGTGGGACGCCAACAAATGGTGTACTGTGCATGCATGCTTGCATTCCTGCATGCGTGGATAGCCTATTAGTCGCTCTTGAATAGACGTTTACCTTAGCAATCGCAAGGCAAGAATATCCGCCAATACAGATAATCGTACGTCCCTTAAAGAGCACCGCTCAACATCTGTGGACGTGTAGAACAAGCATACATACGTGTACAGCAATGCACACATACTTGAATTCGTTGAGCAATTATTCATGTGGAGACGTTAGATGCACTCGCGCTTGTTACTGTATTTACATTTTGTCTGTATTTTTGGATACACTTGTGTCTAGTAAATCTGCCTACACTACACAGCTCTGAACAAGAGAACGTCCATGTATGTGTAGCTGCGCTTATATGCATGCACCTATCTACCTGGTCAGGAAACGAGGCCCCGCCCCAAAAATCACAGGCATAATCACCCGCCTGACTAGAACCATAGGCACAAAAAGAAAAAACCAACGCCTTGAAGTCTGAATGAGACAATATATCGGTTATATGTACAGTGAAGATGAATATCTATACAGGAACAGCCTGCTGGCTCACAGTTGCTCTTGTTCAGCAATGGGATTGGCGTGTATTTGGGTGCTGAGAATTTTGATCTCACTTAAGGGCCTGTTTTTTTTGCCCGTGGGCACCTTTTCTATTTTGTCTAAAGTGTCTAACCCGTCAATCAAACGGCCAAAGACAGTATATACCCCGTTTAAGTGGGGCTGACGAGAATAAGTAATGAAGAACTGAGAGCCATTCGTGTTGGGAGCCCCCTGGTTTGCCATGGACAAAACGCCCCGGCGGTCGTGCTGCAGAAACAATCATAAATGGGGTGGCACAATGACTCTTGCATATATTATATATGGCCAGTGACTAGGTAGCGGTGTGCAGACACAACACCTGCACGTAGATAATGGTTGGAAGTAAGAGCGAGAAAAACAAAAACAAAGGCACCGAGAGACACACAAATAAGGTAACAAAAAAAAACAGAGAGACAGAAACGCGCACAGGCAGACCGACAGTGAAAGCCAGTCGAAAAAAAGGAACACAGAGAGGAAAAGTGGCAAATGCATGGGTACAATGGTGACAGAAGCAACGCCAGCTACAGAGCCAGATAATGATTCGTGAGTTGGGACTTGAGTTAAGCAAGGGACAACGAATGGAAAGAAGGAAAAGCAAAACAAGTGAGCGGGGGGAAATAAAAAACAATACTGTACGTAACTTCTCTTCGAGCCAGCTCAACTTCAGCTTGGGAACTCTGACAGCCAGTATCACTATGCACTGCCTGCGTATCTGCACTTGTACTAGAGAATTGAATTTACCGATAAGCTGGCTAATCAAACGCATGCAGAAGTGAATAATCTTTTCTATGATCACCGCATGAGCTAGCCAGTTGTCTGCTTACTTTTAAAGTGGCAACAAACTCGTCTTCAAAGAAGCCACCGTAGATGGACTGGCCGCCTTTGCCAGTGTTTGTAGGGTCTCCCATTTGCACTGCGAACCCCTTTATATTTCTGCAATGCAGCGAAGCAGAAGAGTGAAGAAGGTGCACAGACTGCGGGGCTGCCTTACATTAGAAGAACCAACACTCATTAGGAATAAATGGGTGCAACGACCAGCAAAAGAAGGAATGACAAAAGCCGCATAAACAACTACAAAAATGGGGTATAATGAGCAGCCACAGAAAAACTGAGAAAGAATCAAAGAGCCAAACACATATGCAGAAGCGGACGCAGCGTGAAGACAGTGAAAGATACGGGCAAAAACCGAGAGGAAAAGAGAAACAAATATCGGTGCCGCTTTGTATCCGTGTCTGCTTTCTCTGGGCGGCGTCTCATCGCTCTCTCTCCTGCCGCTACTTCTTTCGTGTTCCATGCTTACAAATACGTGGAGAAACGGGTAGACGTGGAAAAAAAGGAGAAGTCAAGCCGACACAAATGGGCAGGACAACATACAGGCAGCTGGCGTCAGAAAACGACGAAGACCTAGAGCACCGCAACCTACCTCGTTACAATACAGCCATCGTACGAGTTCGAAGCGCAAAGAGCCAAAAAATTCTGCACATCGCAGAAAAACCGGCGGCATTAGCAACAGCAGCAGCACCAAAAAGAGGAGTGCATGCATGCCTCAGTAACGTACGAAGCAGCAGCAGCGACACAGTGGTACGTGCAGTAGCAGCTGCGACACCACGTGCACACAAGGAAGGGAAGGCTAAGAGAAGCAGCAGGTAGTGCAATAGTTATGCAGACAGCGCAGGAGTACATATTTACCTAGCAGCAACTGCAGCCTGAACACCAGCAAAAACGGCAGCAGCAAAAGGTACTCACCTTGCAGGTTCGCGGCGTTTGCTGGCAGAAGAGCTCTACCTTCAAATCGCCGAGGTTTGTTTTAAGCGTAACAGACATCTTCCTGCTGCTCGTGCTGTTGCAGCTCCCAGCTTCCGCGGTCGCTGCTGTTAACCAGGGGAGGCAGCGGCGCCAATGGCCTTCAGGCCTTTCCGTTTCCTATTAATGTCAGCACAGCTTAGGACCACAGCAGCAGCAGCCAGCGCAGCAACGGCGCGAATAACAACAACAGAACGAAGGTCGGCAGCACATCCAATTCGTTGCTGCAGAGTTCATGCGGAAGGCCCAAACGTTGTCGGGGTTGAAACGATACCTTAACAGTGACATATTTGGGAACATGAAGAGGGAAACGGTGGGGAACTGTAGCAGCAGCTCACTGGGGGCCCCTTTCGGGACTCTGCAGCTGGGAGTCGTTCGGGGCTTCCTGCAGGGGCCCCCATGATGCGTTATGGAAGAAGAGGCCTTCGGCTGTAACTCTAGCATGCAAATATACGCCTTTTAAGGTAACCTAATGAATATCGAAGATTCTGCGACTCCTTCGTGCTCCCGATTACAACGCAGACGCAGCAGCAACAGCTGCAGGAGCATCGTTTGACTCTCAAGCGGCTGCTGCTGCAACGGTTGGTTCTGTAGCATGCAGGTAGAATTATCCGTGCTGGAGCTGCTGCGGAGCAAGGCTATCAGAGTTCTGCCAGTGGGGGCTGACGGGACCCTGGTTCCTTGCTGGCAACCAGCGGCAGCACTGGCAGCTGAACAAGCAGCAACTAGCGAGGCGCAGGAGAGGCTGCTTTTGCTGCCTCTGTTGCGCAGAGTCCCGGGCGCCTCCCTGGAATATCCCATCCCTCGAAGACAGCCAGGGGAACCGCCAGTGTATCTTTCAGTGCAATTGGACTCATGCGCGGATACGACAGCAACTGATCTGTGGGGCCCTGCTTGTGGCTTGCTGCTGTGCTATTTACTGCAGCATCAGGAGGCTCTTCAGCTGCAGCAGCGGCAGGTGCTAGAGCTCGGCTGCGGCTTGGGGGCGCCTAGCAGCCTCTGCTGCCTGCTGGGAGCACCATGGGTCCTTCCAACTGACTGCGATTCTGCTGCTTTGTCTCTGACGAGGTGTAACTTGTCGCTGTCAGCTGCACTGCACTCATTCATATTCCCTATTCCGGCCAGTGCAAGTGCTTCTGGCGGAGCAGCAGAGGCGTTGGCGGCAGCTGCTGTGCGACTGTTGGAACGGATACGCAGTAAGAAGCAGCAACAGCAGCAACAGAATCAGGAGCAGCATGAAGGCGTGTTTTCTGTGTCAGACATTCTATGCGAGCTAGGAGATTCCCCTCGAGCCACCGCAGGTCCCCTCAAATGGAGTGAAGACGCCTCGGAGGTGCGGCAGCAACTGCTCCAGTTGCAACAGCAGCGACAGCACCGACAGGACCGGACTGCAGAGATTCGGCCCTGTGTTAACTTGGTGGTGGCATCGGATGTGCTCTATTCAGACAAGGCCGCAGCGGCCCTTGCGTGCACTATACACACTGTTGCAGGAGTTGCTGCTGAATGTAGGTGGTCCCATTGCCATGGGAAGGTCCCTGCTCATAGGGAGGCTGGCGACCGCAGGGTCTCACATAGTGGAAAGAGTGCAGTGGGAAGTGTTCCTGGTTTCCTTTGTTTGATTAGTCATCAGGTACGGCATGCGGTGTATGCACACCAGGGTCAGTTAGCTCGCGAAGGAGCTGACTCTGCTTTGCAGAGTTTCATTAGCAATTTCGAAACTTTGCAGACAGACGCAAAAGGGCTTGCCGCTACATATGCGCGCAAACCTCTAAGAAAGGAGCAACCCGGCAGTGAACAAGCAGCAGCAGCAGCAAACGCACCAGCAGAGGCAGAAAAAAGCGACTCCCCTGTGCAACTGTACGTGCGCATTATCGAGGAACACGAACAGGAACTTCCACGAGGCGCTTGGGAGCCCCCTGAGGGGAACTTCAAGGACCGCGGTGGCGTTGAAATGACACAAAAAGGAGACAGCTGTTTGCCTGAGGGCAGCGTATGTCTGCTGGCCATCGCATCAGACCCTGAGCAACTCCTGCAGCTACCCCCAGCTGCTGGCTCTGCTACAAAGAGTTTATGCTCAATAACGAAGCTGCAACGAACTAGCTAGACGCTGGCAGCTGGAACTCACTAGAAAGTGACACCTATGGCTAATTTCCTTGGCGGGGCAAGCCGCTCGTCTTTCCCGTATCTGAAGCGGCCCGGGGGATTGCCAGTTCATGCAACTCCTTCGTTCGCATGTTAGCTCTACTATGGCTAAGTAGCTCGTGGCTCCTTATCTAACGCAAGCCAGCTCCTTGCATCCTCATTTGCCCTCTTCATCGCTGTTCCGCCCCAATACCTCCGCCCGTACTTTTGTTTGCCTGCACCCATTAGCTTAGCGTCTACCACGGTTAGCAGTGCCAAGTGCCACGCCAACAGGCACAAAAGACACAACCAGAGAAAAGAGATAGTGCACGGCACACAATGCGAGGAAGAGAGGCATGCTGTACGCCATCGGGCTGATGGAGCAAGAACGACAGTAAGGAAAACAAAGGTGCACGCCAAGGCGATCAGATACACACAAAACTAAGAGCAACAGGACGGCGGAATCAGAAGGCACGATAAACGAACGCAATGCACGGCGGGACACACAGCAACAGAAATCACCGAAAGGCCTCCGCCTTTGATTCACTGCTGGTAGTCAGCAGCAACGGCACCCTGCTACAAGGGATGCTACCTGTCTGGTTCTCTGTCCAGCTAACTACACTAGCTACAAGGATGCGAGGTTGGTGCTGGGTTAGGCTTGAGAAGTCTTCATCCACGGGGTAGGTGTCTGACTGGATGGACGAATGCACAGGGGGGCAGCCTGGCCCGTGGCTGTATGGCTGGCTCTCTCAAAAGCCATCTCACTGGATAGGTAAGAAACCGATTAGCTGGTTACCTAAAACCATGGCGAGCCATCTGGTCAGTTAGGCAGCGGGAGACACCGTTGGCCAGCCATTTGACTGGTCACCTACTTACCCACCTTCCACTCTACGCAGCTGTTTGAATAGATAAGAGCTCGTAAACAAGAATGATAAGGGGCAACACCATCAGAAGCAGCCACAAACAACATGGCAGCAGGTGCCGCGCTGAGAACCCACAGATTTGAAGCTCGCTGTTATCTCCTCGAGCGACCCTGAGATTGCAGTAATGGCAGCAACAGATCGCGTGCTGTAAGCGCATGCAGTCGCAGTTGCAGGTCAGAATAAGTAAATATCGCGCACGCCGCAGTAGAACTACAAGCTGCTGCGCCGGCACTCCGCATAGCGGCAGCAGCGAAGCCGGCACCGGCGGAGCAGCAGCAGCAGGAGTAGCAGTTGCCCTCACCAAGTTCCTTGCCTCAAAAGAGCCCAGAGCCCCGGAGTGTCTGGGTCCCTTTCTTCATGCATTGGTGACGAATAAGCTTCGAAGAGTCTGCAACAAGAAGACCCACGTCCGCTGGGCGGATGTACACCATAGCAGTGCAAATCACTTGTGGCTGCCAACGGAGTGCACTACACAGCAGTAGGGGGCAGCTGAATTTCCAGGGATAGAATTGGCAGCAGCACAAGCAGAAATACAGGGGAAAAACGACAGAAAACAAGCTAAATGGACACCTTAAAAAATGCAGGCACCGGGAGCATGTATGGCTCTACCCTTGGGCCAGATGCAATGCAGCCCCTGAAAGCAGCATCCGCAGCAGCGGAAACAAAAAAGCCAGGAACAAAGCGAGCAGCAACAGCAGCATACCTCTGCGACCGAAAGGAAGAAACTGCCAGCCGAGAGGGCGAATCACCGAGAAGGCGCTCCGTGTAGTTTGTTCGCAGCGGGGCCCTCACTCTGCAACAACAGTAGCAGCAGCAGCATTTAAACGCTGCAGCCGACAGTGGCGCCCGTCCAGGCCATGCAGCAGCAGTAGCAGTATCACTGACCCGTCGTCTCCCATGGCTTCCCCGCCTGTTGGCGCGAGAGCATAGTGGTGGCCTTCCGTATCTGCTGCTGCTATTGCTACTGCAGTGTTTGTTGGCGCCTGGAAAGAAGTGGCAGAAGCGCCAAAACGCGCTTCCGCCAGTTGCCTCTGCCTTTCCCGGTTCGCTGCATTTTCCATCGCAAGCCGGTCAAACTCCTCCTGCTGCAACCTACGAGCCAGCTCCACGCCAATCTGCAAAAGCAATAGCAGTAACAGTAAGCGGCTCAGCAGTCCAATCACGTTAACATCCGTCACGCCCCTGTTGCAAATCTATCAGATCTGTCGCCTGCTGCTCCAGTGAAAGACGGCAACAATGCGGCACAAAACTCAACTACAGCGATGCCAGCAGCAGCAGCTCTGCTGGCACGACAGCAGCAGTAATTACTATCATGCACCTGTTCTTCCCTCTGCCGCTGAATCAGTTCCGCCTCGGCTGCCTCTCGCAGCAAGCGCTCGGCGTACCGCTGGTGGTGCAGTTGGCGGTAAGCAGCCAGGTCTGCCGCTGCATCAGCTTCTGGTGCTGCGTCTGCTGCTGCATTTGCTGCTGCCGCCTCTGGTGGCGGGCCTGCTACAACTCCTGCTGAGCCTTTTGAGACGCAGCCCTCCCCTGAAGGCCCCGAAGGGTACTCTGCGTAGGTGGATGCTTGAGAAGCTGCTGCTGGTATTGCTTCTGCTGCTGGTGCCGTTTCCGCTGCTACCGGCGCAGGCACAGTTGTTGCTGCAGCGGGACCTGCTCGGGTCGCCGCGGTAACCGTGGGGAGCTCCCCAAGCCCAGCAACATTATCCTGCCCTTCATACATAGTGACGTGAGGGTGTCAGACTTCAATACAGAAGCGCCGCTTCCCTACCCTTGTGTTCTTGGTGCGGCTCCTGTTGCTACTGTTGCTGTTGCCGCTACTTTTGCTGAAGTCCTTTCTGCTGCCATTCAACGCAGTCATCGGCGACACAGGAAAAATTGCCGCCGCTTGCTTAAGCGATTCCGGCTGTTCCTGCTGTCCTACTGCCGGTGCCGTTCCTACCACGGCCTTAAGCGTCCAGAGGAGTGTCACTTAAAAGCACTTGGGCGGTAGTGCATACACTGCAAAGCACTCGCTCTTGATTCGCTGCAACGCAGCTGGATAGACCTCAGATGGGCTCCGCAACCGTCAGTTACACGCGCAAAGCAGCAGCTGGTGCCTCGTTGTTCGCTGGCGTTGCAGCACGTCGAGTCGCTGCGTCAAGGAACTTTGTCCTTTACTCCTCCAACCCCTGAATTTGGCATGACGCAATAACGTGCCCCGCAGTTCTAATGCAGGAAATCAGTCGCTGGTCTCGCCTTGGTCTCATCGAGCAACAGTTGTTGAGGCGGCAACAACGGAGAGCAGCAGCAAGGAGCGTACGAAAGAGCTTCGTTGCTGCCTTCGCCACAAAAAATAGACGTGAATGCAGGAAGATTACCTTAAAAAGCGGCTAGTCTCATGACTGAACCGCATGCAGCACCTGGAACTGTTGCTGCTCCACGAGCAGGTTGAGCGCATGCAGCCCTGTCGTCAGTGCCCAGCTGCAGCAAGAAATAGTAACAGTAACAGAGAATACCGCGAGAAACCACAGTGTAGTGAAGCTGGCAACATTACTAGTATATCCCAGAACAGCAGCAACGGCCAAATAATGTCGGTTGCCGCTCGCAGCTAAGCTGCCGTGGTACACCAATCTCAAGAGCACCGACAACCAGACAGTGGTGACGTCGGCGACGGATGTGTAGCCTCAGCATGACATGACAAACCCGGCAGAGATACAAAGCCGGCAGCAGCTGCAGCAGCAGCGAGAAGCAGCGCCAGCAAAATCACACGGCAACTTATGCAAGAGCAACAGCAGCAAATGCAGCCAGAAGTAGCAGCAAGAGAGTTCTCAGAAGCAGCAGAAGGAGTAGGAGTAGGATCACCAGGATGTTCAGGGGTCAGCGCGTGTTCAATGCCCTGATTCTCGAGGAGGGCGAAGAATACCTGACGGATTGCGAGGCCTCCATTGCTGCTTCTCACCCTGTTGCTTTCCCCATTTCCCATGTTCGTGCTGCTGTTTCCGCTGCAGCAGCTGCTGAAGCAGCAGCAGGCTCAGGAGCTGCTGCTGCAAGGGCGACAAATGACGGGTCTATACACCCTTTGCTCGCTGCACTCGTGGGCTTGCAATCACATGGCCAGCACTACCAGCAACAACATCAGTGGCAGCAGCAGCAGGTGCTGCGGCAGCATCAACAGCAAAGCGAAGAGGGTCGACTGCGTCTTTGCAGCAAAAGTCTTATCTTAGACCCGCACAAGCCCGCAGCAGACATTCTTAAGCTATTGCTGCGGCGCATTGTCTTCATCGCTCAGCTCCCCAGCAGTACCAGCAGAAGCAGCTGCAGTAGCAGCGGCGTGAGCAGCAGCTGGGGATGGTATGGAAATTCCAATGCCCCCGCAACGACAGCAGCACCGGCGGCAGCAGCGGCGGGGGATCTGCGGCTGCTGCTTGGCGTTGCAGATTTCATGCGCGTCTCTCTAACCGTCATTGATGGAAGGACTCGTTGCGTGTCCCCTTTCACACAAGAAACTGCAGCAACAGCAGCACATCCACCACCTTTGTTCTCTAGCCCTCAGCAGCAGCTGCACCAGCAGTTCCAGCAGCTGCAGCAGCTACAGCAGCAGCAGCAGCAGCAGCCAATTATGTACGGCCAGCAGCAACCAAGAGCCTCGACAGATGCTGCGAAGGACCCCACTAGAGTCTTTTGTTTTGTTTTGACCATCAACGCAGCAGCAGCAGCAGCAGCTGCTGCTGCTGCTGCAGGGCCAGTGGTTGCCGGCAGCAACAAGCTGTTGCTACTGCTGCTGAATCTGTGGCGAGTGTCCGCAGGCTGCAGCCCGCTGACCCGCCTGCCGCGGGGGCCCCTGCTAGCAGATGCAGAAACGCAAGACACAAAACAGCAGCAACAGGACCAGCAGCAGCAGCTATCGCCTGAGGTCTTTGCTGCTGTAGTGCAGAGGGAGCTGCAGCAGCACGTCCGTTTCAGCTTCTCGCAGCTGGACCACAGAGAGCAGCTGCTGCTTCCTACCAATACAGGTCCGCAGAGGTGTCTGCAGCAACAGGATAAACATAGAGATGGAAATAGTTTCGGCCTAAGCAGCAACCGCGGAGATGGCATTGCTGTTTCACCACCATTTGCTGCCAGTGTCTGTACGGGTGTTCATGCTAAGGTGATGTGCATTCCCTTCGCTGTTACCAGTCTTGTGTTGATTTTCTATGCACGCTTGCTTCATTGTTGTTAAGCTCGCATTGCTTTTCTTGTAGTTAATCATGTCCTGCCGTTTGCCTGTATCAGCACAACTACACTCGCCGCGCGCAAACCACGAAGCAGCCGCTTACCAGGTCGCCTTTCTGCCTTTTTTTTCATTGCTTCCTTAGGTTTTTGGGTCTCGAAGCTGCGCCCGCTGACTTCTCAGCGAGCTTTGCTGCTGCTGACCCCATCTTATTTGTATTTGGAGCCTCATCCGAATTTTACAAACAAGCCTGCGAAGAAGTACCCTCTTGCCGCGCTCCTTCATGTGCTGCGGCGGGTGCACTGTCTGCGTCCGAGTGGGCTCGAGTTCGTGTTTGCTGCGAGAAGCAGCTGCAGCAGCAGCAGCAGTAGCAGCAGTAGCAGTGGCAACGGCGTCAGTGGCAGTCTGAGCAGCAACGCGCGGTTTGGGATGCCCGCTGCTTCCGCTGCTGCTGCTGAAGCGGCGAAAGGCCAAGATGGGCTGGGCATGCGCAGAAGGAGAGATCACAAAGTTTTGCTGCTGGAGTTCGACGACCTTTCAGAGAGAGAAAAAGTTGCATGCGCTTTAGAGCAGCTAAAGCCACAGTCAGTTCTGCTGCTATTTCTGCTGCGATTGCTATGGCGTCTGCGGCTGCTTCGTTCTTGTCGGTGTTGAGGCTGTTGCTGTTTTGTCTGGTGTTTCTGCTGTGCTTCGAACGCAATTGGTGCTGCTGCTTCTCCAGCTAGGGCCACTAATTTTATATGGTTCTGTGAAGGTGAGGTTGCGGCTAAGGCTGCTCTGATTGGTATGCAGCAGCAGCCACAAACGCATCAACGATCCTGCTCCAGCCGCAGGTTTCTCTGAGCAGTATGTGTGGATCTGTGGTGTGTCTGGTGTTCTTTTGTCTTTAGGGCCTTTATGATGCAAGCATCTGACGAGCTGTTGAGATGCATGCAGCAGCGGTGGTTGGAGGGTCGGTTGTCTTCTTTGCACTATATCCAGTTCCTTAATAGCGCAGCAGGCAGAAGCACCAGCAACTTCTCAGCTTATCCTGTTTTTCCGTGGGTCCTGCAAAGGTACGCTGCCGCATTTTCCGTTCTTCTGCTTGTAGCTGCCGCGGCTGCCTTGGCTGTAGCTGTAGCTGTGATGCTACTTTGCCTAAATTCGAGCTATGTCTACTGTTGGTGGAGAATATGCTGCTCCCTGTAGTGAGGTAGCGATATCCGCTACTGCTATCTTAGCTGCGTCGGCTATTCCCGGTTAGTGCTTCGCCAACTGCTGCGTGTAGAGACCAGCATTAGTGTGTAGGCAACCTTGCAGCAGCAGCTTCAGCAGTGGCACCCACTGCACCAGCCAGAGTTGCACTACCACTAGCATTTGGAGCAACGGCAGTAGTGCCGGCAACATCAATATCAACGGTGCCGGCAGCAGCACTGCCAAGGCCACACCATAGACGGAGCATCGCAGAGCCAACAGCATCACAAACTGCATTTTTCATGTGCCCCTGCGCTTGGGATGGCTACGCAGGTATTCCGAAGGCGACAACTCAAACCCTTTGTCTGATCCTTCCGCTTTAAGAGATCTGAGTAAACCCGTGGGTGCACTCAACGCCCAGAGGCTCGATGGGCTTTTAAAGAGAATGAAAGACGTGCAGGTATGAACGCGAGTAAGCCAGCGGCGCATGCGAGCAGTGCATGGGAGAGCTGGACGCGTATATTCAGTGCAGTTTCTGGACGAAATTTCCGAAGGCAGATACTGCAAGCAACTGATGCGCGCAGGCAATAATGCGTGCGCATTACATGCACGCAAAGCGGCACGTTTGTGTTAAGACTTTGTGCAATACTGTTGTTATACTCTGCATAGCTGCTGCTTACTTAAGGCTGCACGTGATTTTGCAGGTGGACGCGGGGGGAGTGGGCTTACATGAGGGTTGTGACGAGGGTGGCAAGAGCGGCGCAGCAGCAGCAGTAGTGGTCGACAGCGGAGCTGCAGGAGGAGGCGCAGGAGGAGGAGCAGCAGCAGACCTAAACTACATCTACGGCAGCCACTACAGCACTCCCGCCTACACGGTGCACTTCTTGGTCCGCCTCATTCCTGAGTGTCTCCTCAGACTCCACTGCGGCCGTTTTGATTGTACTCATCGCATCTTCCGAAGCATGCAAGGGGCTTGGGCAGGTAAGTATGACCCGCTGGCAATGCCCCTCCTATCCCTGCTGGCTGTGCCGGTGCTGCAACTCGTATTGCTTTGCTCGCTGCTGCTGCTACGACTCTCGCCTGCAACGCTTCGCAGCTTCGTATTTGTTTGCTTTTTTCTGCATGCGAAGTTGCGTGGGTGTGTGCGGGTGGTGGTACGTTTCCTAGGTGCATACAGCGGGCAGTCAACCTTTGTGGAATTGACCCCTGAGTTTTATTTGTACGACACTTCATTTCTTTGTAACCGACTTGCCATACGTCTCACGCCAAAACCAGCTGGCACTCCTCTCTTCGCCCCAGCTGCTGCAGAAGACTCCACTGCAGCTGCTGCAGCGGGAAATGCATCCAGAGGCAGGGCTGATGGACCCGCAGCAACAGCATCAGGTGCTGTTGCAGCAGCCGCAGAAACATTGGGCGACGTGGAACTACCAGTTTGGTGCAAGGGAGACCCTGCTCTATTGCTGCTGATGCATCGTGCTGCACTGGAAAGTAGCAGCTGCAGTAGCTCTCTCCACCGCTGGATTGATCTCATTTTTGGCTATAAACAAACGGGGCAGGTGACGACGAAGGGGATTTTGACAGAATCGCGGCTCACAATGTCAAGGTTCAGAGCCTAAAATTTAGGATATACAGTTCGGGGCACACTATTTAGGAACTTGGGGATGTGGGAAAGCATTGGAAGTTTAGGTTGTAGGATTCGGGGCTGAAGACGATGTTCAAAGTTTTCAATATTTCTTTGTTAGGCGTTTCAGGGCGCACAGTTCAGGATTTGCGGCTTAGGGTTGGGGGCCCGTGTTCTGCGCATTGGTTGTACTGTACAGGAGGCTCGCGCTGCTCACAATGTGTTTCACCCCCTGACGTATGTGGACGCCGTTGCTGCAGCAGCAACAGGTAGCTGCTGCCCCACAGGGACCCAAGAGGGAACATTCACTGTAGGATTGGCGCGGCTGCTGCAGCAACTGCCTCCCCTTGTGCGAAACGTACAGCTACAGGAGTTCGGACAGACACCCATTAAACTTTTCTCGCAACCCCATCCAATGAGGTGCTGCAGCTGCTCCTTCGGCTGCTACTGCGCTTGTTTCGGCTGGTCCTCCGGTTGCCGCTGTTGCTCATTTTGCGTTTGTTGCTGCTGGAACTCCTTTTGTCACGATTGATGCTACTGCTACATTAACGTTGGCAATAGGTGTTCGTGACCGGTCCCCGCCATTGCTGATGCAGTGGCTATTGCTGCTAGTAGAAAAACTACTTCTGTTCATTAACAATAAACTTGCGATCGCAAAGAAGCGTCTGCAGCCAGGCTCTCTGGTGGGTGTATGCTATTGTTGGTGCCGCTGTTGCTACAGGCTATCATCTCCTCTCTTTGACCCTTCTGAGTGGGAGCTTGCTTTTGGACGCTCAGCACCTCGCCATTTGCTGCAGGCTGACAGGCACCGCAGTTCAGCGGTATCAACAGCAGCAGACGTAGGATGCTCAATGTGGTCTGACGTACCGTGGCACCTGTACATTCACTACCACCCGGAGCTGCTGCCAGGTCTCCTCACGCCTACTCCTATCCCCCCTTCAATCGCTCCTTCACCAACAGCAGCTGCTAGTGCAACACCCGCTGCCGGGAGTGCAACACAACAAACGAGGCAACAGCAGCAGCCGCGGCAAGGAGCTGCAGCTGAGAGAGTTCCCCTGAAGTGGAGGAACCCTCCAAGGCCTGAAAAGGAACAACAGCTGCTGCTACAGTTACTGCTGGAGGGAGCTTCGCGTCCTCAACAGCAGCAACAACAGCAACAGGAGCTGCAGCAGCAGCAGCAAACTCGCGCCGCTGCAGCATGGAGTCGTGCTGCAGCAACTCGTCTGTGGGGCCGGAATCCCCGTAGTGCCTCTACAGCCAATTCACCCTGGCGTCGCTTCTCCGCTTGGCCCAGCAGCAGCACATTGACTAGTACTGCCACAGTCCATTCTGTCCAGAATCGTCAGCAGCAGCAGCTGGCTGTCCGGTGTCGCTGGCTAGGGCTTTCCGGTTTGTCGTGCTGCAGGGGATGGGTGGCAGTTTTGGGGCGAGACGGTCGTCTCTGCTGCTTCGATGCTCTGGAAGGCCGTTTGCTGCAGCAGCAGCAACAACACAAACAACAGGAACAGCGAGGCGGGTTGCCGGAAGGTGGAGCGGAAACGGCCATGCGGGAATGTCTGCCCCTTTCCTCTTACGCGACATCCGTATACCGCAAAGTGTCGAACTCCTCGCTGACCAGCGCAGCCCACCTGGGGTCTTGGCGGTTGCTGACCTTGGGGTGTGCAGATGGAAGCATCTACTTACAGCACTTGCCGCAGCGAGACTTGGAGCCCTCCTCCCTCAGCAGCAGCAGCAGCAGCAGTGGGCTCATGAACTTTTACGGCATCCCTGCGGGGGCCCGAAAGGAGAAGCAGCGAGTCATCGGCCATCTGGATTCTGTCTTGTCTTTATCCTATGAAGGGACTGAGGGCTGTCTCGTCTCAGGAGCAGCGGACGCGACTGTTAGGGTGTGGGGCGCCACCCCGGCGGCCTTGTTGCTGCAGCGGCTCTTCGACGAACCGGTGTCGGAAGTAACTGCAACAGCAGCCTGTGGCCCACTTGTTCTTGCAGGTACAGCCACTGGGCAGCTGCTGCTCTGGGACCTTCGATGCGCCTCCGCATTTGTTTGGGGAGCTCCTCAAGGAGGCCTTCACGACCTGCGGGGACCAATACGAGCCTGTGGCTTTGCTGAGGGCAGCAGAGTGACTGCAATTGTCCACACCCCACAAGCTGCTGCAACTTTACGCAGGCAGGAGCAGCAGCAGCTCCAGCAAATAGGAGTGGAAAGACCGCACTCAATGGAGCAGCAGCAAGACACAGCCAAGCCAAGCACCTTAGCAGCAACAGCAGGAGTAGCAGATGCAGCAGCAGCAGCGGACGCAGCGTTTCCCGTGCAAGTGTGGGAGCTTCGGGGCAGCAGCCGCGTGCCACCTCGTGCACCTGCTGGGGCACCGTTACACCCCATGTCTCCCAGCGCGGTTGTGACATGCGGGGCCCTAGATGACAGCGGCCTCGCCCTTCTTGCCACCATCGAGTCTTCTACAGTCCCTGCAACCGATGGGCCTGCTGTTTGTACTACCAGTGCTGCATGCAGGGCAGGGGTGCGACTGGTAGATTGTCTGAAGAGAGAAGAAATAAGTTGGACGCCGTTAAGTGCTGTAGAGGCCCCGCGGTACATTTCGGTGTGGCCTGCTGCTTCTGCATCGGCACCGTCACCGCAGGAAGGATCATCTTCTGAAGGACCGTCTTCGGGAGCCTGGGGCCCCACAGTGGTCGCGGTGGGGGAGGCCGGCGGAGCTGTGGAAGTTCTCTGGGTGTAAGTGTCTGCATGGGAGGGGCCCACGCGGGGCATCTGCGGAATCGTTGGGGAGCAAAACGGACATGTAGAGACGGGAGACAAATGACAGACTATACGCACAGTGACATTCAACCAAGACTGAAAATGCAGTTCAATGTGCCTCGCCACTTGAGTTACAAGCCAGTCAGCCTCCCAGCGCGGGCACCTACCGCTGACTGTGTAGACGGATTTGTCCGGTGTTAGGTGCGCTGCATTGTATCAGTCTCTCTTGAGCTCGTTTTCCATAGATGAAGCACGGTGTCGTGGGCAACGTAGGAGGGCTGTTGCTGCGATTAGATAACCAAGCCAGCGAGCTCCTAACCTAGCCCCAAGGCGATGGATACCTCCCTTCCGCGACAGCAATAGCAGCGGCAGAAAAAGATTGGCATCACTGTGAACGAAGGGACACGGTGCATTGATTTTTATGTCCAAGCACATTAGATGAGACGTCAGGGAGCAAACCTGTTTCTGTACGCGTGAATCCATGTATCGCTTAAGCTTAGGCTAAAGCTTTCAATCAGTTAAAGTTGAGGTCCTTGAAAGCAGTGAACAGTTCAAGGCCACCAAACCCTAGGAAATCTTGAACTCTCCACCTGCCTGAAGCCCGCACAGACCGTGGATCCTGGACGCACGAGTGAAACGAGCACAAGCTCTTCAAGGTTTCTTAGCTGAAACCGTTTTTCCCAAGGGCATCAAAACTACACAAAACAAGCAGAGAGAGCCGCGTGCTATGTTACAAAGCACGAAGATGGCAAAAGGAGTGCAGTGCGTACCAGGGTGAATTACTTGCCGTGAATTTGCGGAATTTAGGTGTATTAAGTATGTGGATCGTGGAGGTGTATTTTTTCCTGTAACTGACCGCAAGGGGTTCAATTGTGTTACAACGCAGGTGGGTAAAACAAGGATGAGAACACCGATTGCTTCCTGTAGTCAGCGGCATCAGCCTCGCAGAAAGCTAGGAAACAGATTGTTGCGGTGCTTCCTGAAGTACCTGAGAGCATCACACTCTGGCCACAGCTAATACGGAGTACAGTATGTGCCCCCCATCAGCTCTACCATTGCTACGGGCTCATCAGGCGCGAATTGGACGCAGCGTGATGGCACCTGAGTAACTAGCATGGCTGCAGCTAAGCCAGCACTGGCCACCTCCAACAATTCATCATTGGGCTCAGTGGCAGTGCACGTCTTATGTCTAAGAAACTTGACTGAAGTCAAAGCACCTTCGAGGGGTTAACTGCTCTACCTGCAATATGTTGAGCGGAGATCCGGGAAAGCGTCAACCCACAGTGATGAGGACACCTATGTTACTTGAGGGGAGAAAAGCTAGACACACCGGTCTTGTTTTAAAGTTACAGAGGCTCAGGCTTTTGATAAAAAGCAGAATCTAGGAGGCAAGCGGGGCATCATCCCTTGGCGAATTTTCGCTGTCACGTAGTGGCAAAAGAGGGTGAAAAGGCGGTGTTTGTCCCCACCTATTTGAGGTGAGACGCAGATATAGGGTTCGGAGAGCCTATTCCCTTTTTTAGTGTAGTGTTTACGTGTGGATTACGTTGAGTTTGAGGTTTGGGGCCGCGTTGGAGCCTCCGACACATGGAGACACGCCTGGCGGACGCCGCCACTCTTGCCGCTTCTGTTCCCGGTGAAAATACTGGTCTGGCCTTCTCAGGTTTCTGGCAAAGTTCACTTTCACGCTTGCTGAATCTTAATTGGACCATATCCAGTGACGTTTCGAACCCTACAGAGGCTCTCCCTGGAAGCCTAGCCCATAGAGTGAAAAATTGCTAAGAAAAACCCGAGATCATTTCCTAGTCGTAATTAGTCCTTGTCTCTGCATGATGCCTCTTACCCTCGCCGCGAGAATGGAAACTAGAGCATCAGCAATGGGACAGAGTTATCTGCGTGTGACACGTGAACACGTCCAAGGCAGATGCACATTGCTAAAATTCCGCCTCAGTGATCATGTTTCTTGTTTAAAATATAATTTGTTTCGTTTTTCGCTTAATTTAATAGTGTCCTTTCTCGGGAAATGCATCACAGACTGCTGGTTGCAGTCGCGATTGTTCAAGTGGCAAGCTCTCTGGGGGACATGGCGTCTCAGTCCCAAGCAACCGACTGTTGGACAGCCAATAAAGAGACGGAGGAATGAAGTTTTCCAAGTATTTTTTGTTTTGCTTTGTCCCTAGCCTTTTTTCATCAGTTTTTATGGCGTGACACCATGAGGCTCGTCAGTTCAGCCTTCCTGTCTGCCCTGGTGCTCGTGCCACGACGCGGCGCCGACGCTGCACAACCGGCACAAGCAAAGGCTGGTAAGTCTGCACCTCAGCGTAAAGTTTGAGTTTCAGTCTTCAGAATTTAGCTCGCGTGATTTTGAGTGTGCGTACAGACACGATTAACTGTCTCATTGAGCTTAATGCCGCGAGGGCCAAGGCGGACCTTGATCCCTTCAGCACAGAGCAAACGGCCGCAAAGAAACTGCCCATCGAAGAACAGGGATACAAAGACGCAGTTTGCAGCCAAATTCAAAAGGAAAGTGTATTTATTCTTACTGGTACCCCGAACAACAGTACAAGTAACGACGCAGATAAACAGCACAACATGGAGATGGTGACAGCCATATCCGCCTTCACTCGTGATTTGTTGGTCGGCTTCTTTTTTTCATGTGCTAAATATACATTTCGTGCTGTTCTTAGTGTTATTTCTTCTTAGGTGGGGGAAGTCACCCACAACGGTGGAAGTTACGCAAGAGACGGCACCTACGCCTACGCACCACAAGAGGGAACTACAGGAAACTGCACGGCTGCAGTCCGCCACTGGGCAGAAGCATACGTGAATTTCGGAGATGACCCTCCTCCTGTTTACACAAATGACAGCACCGGAGTGTACGCTGATGTTCGTAACAGGTCCTTCGTGGCTCTTTTCAATCCGAAAAAGAGCGCCACAATCGACTGTGCCTACTTCTCTTGTCCCATCTCTACTGAAGAAACTCCAAATGGAAACGGAGGTTCAAGTAACGGCGGAGGAAGCGGCAGCGGATCAGGCGGCAACGGAGCAGGCGGCAATGGAGCGTTAAACGGCCGATCACAAGAAAGTGAACACCACACACCAACTGATCTAGAGGGACAGTCTGAGGAAGACGAGGCAGCCCCTTTTGCCTTCCCTGTATCCGAAGAAACAGGCAGCAGGCAGCTTCAGGAAGACCAGAAGGATGAAGCGGCTGATTCAGCCCAAAAGCAGCCACCTAGACGCCTCTCAACTTCCACACAGTTCGTAAGGGGCCTCGTGTGTCTTACGAATCCGCCAGCCCTGGTTTCGGGACAAATGCCTTTTACGTAAGAAACCCTCATATGTTGTTGTTTCGTCTCCGCTCACCTCTTTTCACTGTCCCGAGTTCGCCCGAAAGCTTATCAATTTCCTTCGTTTCAGGCCTACTCCGATTATGGTGCTCTGGCGCCTAAAGTATGACTTTTGTGCTGTCTGACCTTTTGTAAATCTTAGTATACTCAATCGTTCCAAAATCTGCTGAACACAGACATTCGTTGTCTTTTCCGTCTAGTGCTCGCTACTACTCACCTACTACAGCGGTGTTCACTCTTTTCCCGTGCCTTCATCTGATTCCTGGCGTTGCTCGTCTGAGCTGCCCTGTCAGTATAGTTCGTCATATTCGCCTTGTTTAGGAAGCTGCCGCACTTCTTTTAGTGATCCTTTGTTCCTGACGTCGGCAGCAATGCTTGAAGTGTTCCTTTACGAGCGCCTGCCTACTTGCGTATATTGCTTGGTGCCTGATGTTATAATCATTTCATCAGCTCCAATCCAGCTGTTGCAACGCACTGGCTCTCTAGCCTTTGTTTCTTCCTTGGCTTGTGACTGAAAATATTAAGTTGCAGCTTGCCATCACTGCAAATTCTGGAAGAGCACAATGTGGGATTCGATTTCTTTGTCGTTTGCTGTGTGCGAGCAGCAAGGATGAGTGGGACGACATCGAGGACAGTTTTCAGAATTCTGCTTCGGTGTCCGCCCTTTCTCTCTTCCTCACTTCATTCATTTTTACTCTTGTTTTCTTCATCTCCATTTAGATTATCTAGCCGAAGAACTCACGATCTTCTTCAACGCAAATGACAGTCAAACACGCAGTGGGCGGTTGGTCATATTCCGAGAGCCTCTCTCTGTGTAAGTGCGCCTCCACGAAATTGGCACAACCGTCACCAACTTGTTTACTTTCCACTGTGCAGCTGCGTACAAGCTTCACTTCTTAGTGCTCTTCTCTTCACGACTGCCCAGCAGTGTTGGCCGCCCGGAAGAACTGCAGGATGGGCAATGGGTTGCTCGGTGCGGCAACAAGGAGAGGAGGCACAGAGCGCGTATACCAACATTTCTGCTTTGTAATTGAGGTCTAGCCTGCATTTGATTATATGGGGGGCTACGATACTCCCAACCTGTTAACAAACGCATTTGCCAAATGCGGAAGGAAAACCAACTTCTCTTGCTCTGGAGACAGAGGCTCCTCAAGGGCCAGACGAAATTCCCTTTCTGGCTCGCTCTCCACTTGAGACACAACAGCGCACGCGATATGCCGTTTGCCCGCACTGGTAAACTAATGGACAATGTTCTTACTCCTCAATTTGAACACAGCCCCGAATAATTACTGCGGAGGCAGCCGAAGAACAACTAGTTTTTTGCATGCTGTACTGAAGATAAAGGGGCCTTTGAGGTACTAATAGGGACCTGGAGCTGCCAAGAACCCTGTAGCTCAGCAAGAACATGGAAAAATCGCCTTTTAGTCTGTCAGAGATAAGTGATGATCGGTTTGAAACTTCGTGGTTTCCAGAGTCCATCCCCATATGCCGTTTTGTGCACCTGTCTTCAGCACACTCTTAAGTCTTCTAGAGGCACTTTAGCTTGTTTCTGAATCCTGTATTACGAGCGCGCGCTGCCATTGTGGCGGTCTACATCAAGTTTGAGAAACGGATCCGAGGCTTTGATCAACCCTGAAAATTGTGGTGCTCTTGAAGTGTGCGAGCGCTTGAGTTTCGTTAGTGCGAAGCTTGGCTTGCAAAGATGAGATAGTGCGGGAAGGTGGCAGTTAAGTCCATTCCGGTGAGCGAACGATTGCTAAAGCGCCATCGACTGAGCGCTGTGGTAATTAGCACGTTAGTAAGCAGCAGTGGCAGTGCCATCGGTTTAAGCTACGCTCACTAGCTTGCTTTTAAAGCCATTCTGCACACCCACCTGGATGGCAATGCCGCGTACAACCGCTCTCCAAAGTTCTGCTCTCACTGAACGACAACCATTCATTCCGTTTTCTTAAGTCAAGTTGATCGAATCTGCCAACTCATCATGTGCAGCTAGGGTTCTGCAAGACGGCGAAGTAACACTACTCAGGCTTTCCCTTTTGTAATTTCTCACGTTCTTCCACTGCTTTTTTCGGAACATACGTGTCTGGTCCTGTATGTGCCTGTTCCCCGGACCTCAAATAAAAAAGTGATTGGAATAAATCAGCGGATGCAGATTCGTCATAGCTGTCTTGATGACCTCAAAATCAGCCGCATTATAGCGGATGGCATAGGACAGGAGGAAAAACTTAGTTGGCTGAGAGCCTTACTCAAAAGAAAAAATGCGCGTACGTAATTTCACTCTATTGAAAAGTTTACGAGAATTTTACAGCAAGAGTTGAGGGGGACAGTGGCAGCTGCATAGCAGTCTACCACTTGCACTGCTTCATTGGCAGCACACTGGATCTCGAACTCCAATCAGAAGGCGGCGCAGCAAGCAAATTACTTGTTTCCCCTACTGCTGAAGGCAAGTTGGCTCTCTTGTTTAGACCAAACGCCTCGGGCTGCTGACGCTACTGCCACTGATGATATTGGGCACTTGCGAAACAAGAAAAGCCCAGCGATGCGTACGCTCCTGTGTCGTACGACATAAGTGATTAACTGGGCGGCAAAGGTTCATGCATCAATTGAATGTAAGGAGCACAGTTGTACGGTGCTTTTTGCCTTAAGGGTCGAAAATGCAAAGCAGCTGCTGAGCACCACTTTACGGATTCTTCTTCTCTTTGCACATCCATGTAGCTACACAGCTATAATTTACCTGAGTGGCCATATGGCATACAACGACAATACTTAAAAAAGCACAAAAAGCCCTAGAAAAACTGTTGAAGCAAAGAAGACGGAAGGGGCAGGAGCGGAAGCCGAGCTCTGGAGACTCTCCTGTATAAGATCCCAAGTTTCGTCTCTGTTCGCAAACGTCAAACAGCAAAGAGACTGGTCCCCAGTAGCATGCTTTTGGGTTATGGAGAATAGCAAAAGGTGGCAGAGAATATACTGGTGTGCAAAACTGATAGTCAGTGCTTAGAGGGAAAGGAAATTGAAAGACAGACAGAGCAGCGCAAAAAATGAAAAGGCACAAGTTGGGTGGGTGCGAAGAACTGCAGAAGACTATCAAGCAATTGAACATGAGAACAACACCCAGGTTCACGAAAACCCCAAACAAAAAAATAATGAAACCAAGTGCAAAACAAGCAAAAAATATCAGGCAAATAGAGAGACAGTGGAAGGTGGAACTAGCAGGAAGCACAATAGAGGCGGTGAAAATGGTTACAGGCACAGCAAACGACTGTAAGCTGCTGGCCCAACTCAGCAAATGGAAAGGGTGGAGGGAGCACGCTAAGGCCAGGCACAAGGACAAGCACAAGCCGGTGTGCAGCTGGACTTGACTGAAAACACTCAAAGCGCTATGGGGGAGCAAGCACAGGGTCTGGATTAAAAGGTAATGAAAAGGGGAACAACAAATAAAAGGGGAACAGTAAAGCAAAAATACATTCATAGGTGATCAGACGAGCAAGTGCATGACATGCGGCAAAAACAAAAAACCTAAAAAGATACCCACGAAAGTTTGAGCATTTGAGCACAGAGAAGGCAAGCACAAGCAACGACAGCAATATGGAAAAGATGTCCTACGAGAAGGGTCGCTTGCCCACGACGAGAGCAGCTGGATGAGTCAAACAGACAAGGGCCTTAAGAGTATCTCCAGATTCTGTGGACAAACGTCTCCCCAAGACGCCTGCGGGCTGAACAGCGTTAAGCTCTTCATCGGTCTCTTCCGATTCGCGCTGGTGCTCAATGTCTTCTCTAGCTGGTTCTTTTGAGGGTTGGCCTGCTTGATCAGCCGCCGTTTTTGGTGTTTCCGAGCCTGTGATAGATTCGGATTTTTCGGCCTTCTCCCCTTTTGCTTGTGGCACTTGTCCTGCCGAACTGAGTTTTCGAAAGTACGATCCGTGATCCCCATCTGTCACCGGGGTGGAAGTCGTAGTTGACGTGGGTGGAGGGCAGACGAAGAAAGCACAGTCCATGGTCGCTCCCTCATTAGGGTTGAAAAGCGCCACAAATGACCTGTTACGAGATCTCGCGTAGATACCTCCTTTATCGCTGGTGTACATGGCTGGAAGATCACCGAAGTTTACCCACGCCCCAGTCCAGTACTTAACTGCAATAGAGCAGTCGCCAGATTCCCCACTCTGGCTAGAGTAAGCATACGTGCCTTCTCTCCTATAGACAACGTCCTCGGGAGTAAAGGTCCGTCCCTGGCGGCGCATCACAAGAACAGACTCATACGGACAGGACAGTGACGCGACGGACTTAGGAGGAATTACGAACACGAATACGAGTACGAGGATAAGAAAATATTTCACCTTACCTCCCTCATAGTGCTACAAACCGTTTTGATATACTCTGCGTTGGTGAGGGGCAGCTCCTTTTGCTCATCTGTCTCCGCAGTAAACGGGTCAAGGCCAGCGCGTACTCGCACGTCGTTGAACTCATTAAGGCAGCTGACCCGGTCTGCAGGGCAAACTAACGAGACAAAAATAAGTATGAAAGAACATTTCTATAGTTAGTTTCGATTCAGGTGCAGGTCAACGCTTACCAGCCTTGTCCGCTGCAGAACCGCTCTCTGCGTGCCCACCGCGGCCGACACACAACAGCGAAACCGCCAAGAAAGTAATAGCGGAATATTTCATGTTCGCCGAGCCAAAATTAAAAAGTGATTTCAAAAAGGAGTCAAGGAAATGTATCATTCGAATGTGATGGCTGCTGTCAATTCGCCTCAATTTTGGAAGGCTACGTTGAGGACGTGTCTGAGAACCTTGAGGCCGGTCCGCAGCTGATATGGTGCTCGACGTCGGCAAGAAGGCCTATTTCAAAGCAGTCAACTTTTTTTGTGACTGGTGAGCTTCGTTTAATAAGCATCTATTTTTGGGGGGCCACAACGTTTAAATAGGGCCACAAGAGCTCAGTGTCACGATCTAGAACAACCAGAACCTGCCACAGTGTGGAGTAACTATCACAAGCGGAATTTGTGCGACTTAGTGAGCGGCTAGTAAATTAAAACCGATGTAACTGCCGCTATTTTAAGTGAGCCATATCGAAAACAGTGCAACTACGGGGACTAGAACATCCCTCAAAGTTGAGCTGCTAGAACAAGGCTAGTCAACAGAACTTTCCTCGCTAATAAGCTATTTGCTCTCAGAAGTCTTGCGGCTCCGTCATAAATATAGTTGACTAGATCTTCAAACGGAGAATGCTTAAGGAGCTTCGCACTGTGAAACCGCAGCTCCAGCAAGAGGATATGCTTCTCCAACAGGTGTTTCCTTCCCTGCAGCACTACACCTTCGCCAACCTGGTGTTCGTGTTCTGGGATAACTACATCGTATACGCTGGAGTCCTCGAACTCCAGAGTGGCTAGGATGATGGGGCCCAAAGTAACTGTCAGCACCGGAGGAAGTAGAGCTGGGCATGAGGTATGTCGTGGCATTTGTCTCTGTAGTAGAGAAGACCTAGCGATTATGGAGCTAGACAAACGATACAAGGGAATAGTGCACGCTAATATCCCATCAATCTTCAAATGCTTTTTCTTCCCTCCTTTGTTTTCTGTTCTTGCATGCTTTGTCGCCTGTCCTTCAGTGTATCTATCTGCCTGTCTGTTGATTTTCGCGTTTGGACTGAACCTTATCTATATGTTTGCCCTTTTGTTCTTAACCTTGACTCTGCTTCTTTAAGTCTTTGCGTGCTTGTGTGCGCCCGCCAGAGGCAAAATCGCGCAACCAACTGTCTATAAAGTATATTGTTTTGGAAGATGAATGGATATGGTAGTGCGTGACGCAAAGTACAGGTTAGGTCAGAGCCTCTAGTGGCCTGAAATGGTGTCCAAAGCAAAGTAGCTTCTCAGGATCCCAAGCCAAACATTGCAAACGTAACCCGTATCAGTCGCATCGTGAAACAATTCTGCCTGTTCTTAGGGTTACTTTGTCAAAAGAACGCCATCAGCGATTGAGATATTGGCTTTCATCAGTAAAGAAAAAAAACGTCTCATCCCCAATGATACCTGATTTCGTTTTGTCTGCGCCTTTGATGTTCTAAACGCCTTGATCCAACAAGTAAAGGCTACGAACACTGTATGGGATTCGCATTAAATGCCACTGAGGCAGAAAAAGCTCCCATACAGTTGAGACAAAGGACAACGAGCTGGGATCTTGCTTGCTTGCTTACTTCGAAGCATTGCTAGTTTTGTATGTATCCATCTTTTGAAGTCCATGCTCCCTTCTTCCCTCAATTTTCTATCAAGGGGCGTTTTGCTGAAGAAAATGCTGTTAAACACAAAAAGGTGCTGATAAACACTTCAGCTCTGCAGTTTCTAATGAGAAAAAGCGCACCCACTAAAAAGAGGAAGCTTCCTAGGTATTAAAGCCTGTTGCGACTGCACGCTTCACGCCTGCACCAAACCTTTTCGCTAAGCACTTGCCCTGCTGCCCTATTTTAGGCCTGCAAGTTCGGATGGTGTTTTACTTCTATCTTGGCTGGCTTTGAGAACAGTCTCGATTTGCTCAAAGGAACTGTGCTCCATTCCACCATGCTTTCTGAGTACATTCCCGTTTGCAGTGTCTTGCTGCTGCTTGAGGGGCTCTAGTTCGGCCCCCACCACTACGAGTGCCATAGCCCGTTTTGGATTGTGACCAGCACAGTGGTGCTTCAGCGTCGCCACCGCACATCTTGCATGACCAGCTTATCGTGCCGTATTCTACCAAGTACTCTGCGGTGTGTCGCCACAGCGTATTACGGGGCAGCTGCCACCACTTTCCGAGTGGCATTTTTTCTGGCGGCTGTCCGTCATCGGAGCGGAGGCTGCGATGTCAGGAAAGTTATCATCAAAGCGCTCTACCAGTTGTCCGTTTGAATTTTCAAAGAGGTCTGTGCTTGCTTTGTTAAATTCTGCAGCGTGCTGTAAGGAAATACCTGCCTATTTAAGTTAAGTATGGCATACCACGGAGCAGGGTCGTAATTTCGCTTATAAAATCGCCCTAGTTCTTCATGTTGGTTCAGATCTGTTAAATTGGGACTCAGGTTACAGAGATGGTCCTCTTTAATGCCACAGTATCTTCATTCTTCATTTGCGGAGTATTCCACTTTCCATGCAGCTCATCCGCTCCAGTTGTAGGTGCGACTTGATGGTGCTTCCAATATCGGGAACTATGGCAATAATCCTGTCACAGAGCTGGCTTCTTGTCAGGGGAATCTTGTATTCTGCAGTTGTTAAGCGCGGTAGCTTTCATTTCGGTTGGCTCCTTTCCCATCTTTTTCCCAGGAGTTTCGTGGTGCTCGTTCCTCAGTAGGTTGTAGGTTACAAATTTCCCTCCAAAATGCCGCTTGTTACCGGTAACAGTGCTTAGTTTTTAATGCATTTGTATGGCTGGCGCTAAACCTGCATTTGAAAGTTTGCCCTTACCTAGGCACACGTACGAGCTGAACCCGGCCACGCGCTCCTCGCTCTTAGGCACGCCGATGCCTGGAGGCGCGGACTGGGTACTTTAAGAATATTGTGGAGCTGCCATTACTTGTAGTGCGTCGAGTCCTGCTTAACTGTTACGTGTGCCCTTTCACAACAACCAGCTAACTTACGCCCACTTCGGAGCGACAAGCGTACCCCGCTTAATTCCATGATTAGAGGCAAAAAATGCATTGTTTCGAGAGCCGAAAGCTCTAAATAGCTCTCAGAACTGGACTCTGCTCGTAGTTCTGTTCGTACCGCCTAACTTTGTCCCGCGCAGGTTGCGCGTTCGTAGTGTAGGTACCTGCGTGCCTCGCCACTATTCCAGTTGCTACGGAGCTGATGGCAACCCTGAACCTACCATCAATGTGTTCATCTTAGACCTCCAACTTAAAGAACTGGGTCAATGTCAAACAAAAAGATGCAAAAAGTCCAACATTTGAAGGACAAAAAATAGTGGTGGACGAGCACAGCTCTCCGGTGCTCGCTGGCGGCCAGGGAGCCCCAAATTCTCGCTTTTGCAGTCCCACAAAAGCCTTTTTGTCATAGTGTTTTATGGTTGTGAAATAACATTCTTTCGAGTCCTGATCCTTAAATACCACACCCAAAATATATAGCACAAACGCTAGACGTGAAAATGCCGCAACCCTCTGCGCCTATCCCCGAACTTGGGGAATTTATTATTGCAAACAAAGACAAACTCAAGAAAAAAGGCTCGGAGGCAGAAATGAATAAGTGAGAAACCCACATCAAAGTCACATTGCGTTTATATCTAGGTCAAATCCGCCAAACCCAAGATCATGAATGCAGCGAACAGAACTTTCCAGTGATTTACTGCGGCATGAGCGCATACTGCATAAACACACTTGATTCTCCCCACTTAGCGCACACAGCCTTGCAGAGTGGAAGTTGTGTTTCGGTCTGAAGCAGCATTCTTCTGGAGTGTCAACAGCTTTGGACGCATTTCTAGTGGCCCTAAGTTGCCCTAGAAGCCCAACTGAAGACGCTGTCGCTTCCAGATCAAAGCCTAGGCTTTAGTTGGATGAATTTAGATCCAGTGTATTGCATGCTTCAAGCACAGTTCTTTCCTGTTTATTGCTTGGTGTAGAGGCCTGACGGGCTGTATTGCGTATTTGCTGCGAGTGTGTGTGCGTGTGTGTTCGTGCGTTCAGGTTGCTAACTGCCATCAAGCTAGCGGCCAAAGTTGTTAACAGGGAAATTAATATGGCGGGCCTTGTGGACATCTTGGGGGCTGCCGGGAACCAGAACGTGCAGGGAGAGGATCAGCAAAAGCTCGATGTCTTCGCGAACAAGAAATTCATTCAAGTCAGGCAAAACAACTGAACTTGAACAACTGGTTGTAGGATTTGGATAGTTTCGGCTTAGGATTAGAGAGGATCAGGTCAATATTTCGCATCACCTGTGGGGGCTTAAGGATGTATACTAGTTGCGAAAACTTGGGGCTTCTGAAATTCGTCCTGTTTCCAGGAATCTAAAACGTAGGTTCAAAGCTGTGGATTTACAGTCGAAGGCGCGTGTTTAGGTGTTTGGTTGCCTTCAGGCGTTGGTCAACAGGGAAGTGGTCTGTGGCATATGCACAGAGGAAGACGATGACTTTATTCCCGTCAATCCCAACTGCCACCTCGTGCTGCTGATGGACCCGCTAGATGGTGCATCTTTACTGTTACTGACGCTGTGCTGTCTGCGCTTGCTTGTGCTTTTGCTGCTGCTGCGGCTTCTATCGCTGCTCCTGGTTGTGCCGCGGCCAGCAATAATTGAATTGATTCTCTTCATGCTGACTCCATTGTGGTGCTCCCGATGCAGCTACAGTTGCTGCTGCTGTTTTTCGCTGGCAATGCCTGTATGAGTGCTAATTATGTGTTTAAGTCGCTTTCTACTTGCACCCGCTCCTCCCGAAGTAAACACCTCATGTCGATTGTTTTAGTTTTAGTTTAGAAGAGCCAGGCGCTCTTGAGCATAAAACGGGAGCACTGCAAGAACCTGCATCTGTTTTTTGTCTCTAGGCTCGTCGAACATCGACGTCAATGTCTCCGTCGGGACTATCTTCTCTATATTCCAGCGTGTTTCTCCAGTCGGCCAGCCGGTGGAGAGAAGAGACTTCTTGCAGCCTGGCAAAGAACAACTCGCTGCAGGTTATGTCCTCTACGGTTCCAGCACCATGCTCGTAAGTGCTGCTGTGCACCGGCTGTGGTTGTTGGCTGTTATGTGACACTGATAGTTGCAACTGATGCCGGATGCTGCAGGTAGTGCTGCAGGTACTGTTGCACACATACAGGAATGCTTGCGAGACAACGGCTGCCTGCATATGTTGAAAGAGCGAGAGGGCAAGAAAACAGAACTTTGGGATAAGGGTGTACACCGTAGCATGCGCCGCATTACACACAGCGGCACATATTTAAGAACATGTAGTGGTTGAAACTGTATTCGCAGGTCATGACGACCGGCTCGGGCGTAAACGGCTTCACACTTGACTCCTCTCTGGGCACTTTCTTCCTCTCACATCCTAACATGCACTTTCCTGTAAGTTCGTTCGAAGTACAAGCAATGCCCCGTTCTCCAGATGCACAATGGGAAGAAGGCTCTAGGGCTTAGCTTTCAGGGCTTGCCATTCGGGCGGAACGCACGCAGGAAAAGGCAAAGATCTACAGCGTGAACGAGGGAAACTACAAAGCATTCCCAGACGGAGTCAAAAGCTTTATTGAAGAAGCCCACAGTGGAGAGGTAATTCGGACGTAGGGTTTTTGCTCTCAGTTTAAGAGTTCTACTTCAAGGCCTGCAACTCAGAGTACAACTGGGGTTAACGCTTATGCACAGGAATAACCACCAATGGTCAGGTACCATGTTTATTTACAGACAAGCATCAGGAGCTGCGACTACTTGTTTATTAGTTCCGAACTTTTCATATTTAGGACGTAAGGCGTCGAGGTTTTGCTTTCTGCACAGAAGGGCCCGTTTTCCCTGCGATACATTGGGAGTTTGGTGTCGGATTTCCACAGAAATTTACTGCAAGGTGGCATTTATATGTACCCGCCCACAAAGAAAGGTAACTTTTGGCCCTGAACTTCATCCGTTAGGGGCTTTCCCTTGTTTGCCACATTTGTGAGCGTGCGTTGTAGTATCTTTTGTCCTTATCTGCCGTTTTTCATTTTCGAGAGGGGGAATGGAGACAGCGCTAATGAGCTGAGCGTCGATGCATCCTTGTCTACTTTTCACCTGTGTGTCTGTTTCTCACCGTTGCCAGACCCTAAGGGAAAGCTGCGTTTGCTTTACGAGGCGAACCCGATGGCTTTGCTGGCGGAACAGGCAGGAGGCATGGCGACGGACGGCTTTGATCGAATTCTGTCGATTGTTCCGCAAAACTTGCACCAACGCGTGCCTCTGTTTGTGGGCAGCTCGCAGCTAGTGGAGCACGTCACAGAACTCATGAAAACACACAGCCCCCAGTGCAGGCTCCACGCAGATACGCTATCCCCCTGAATCCAGATGCTTTAAACACGCTTCACAGGTTGCGTATGTGCCCCAGATCTACTGTGGGTGCTCATACAGTCAAAGCAGTAGTCGAAATTTTTCCTCTGGTTTTCTATGTGCCCTAGAACGGGTGTGTTTATGTTTATGTGGTACCGGCGGTGTGTGTGGTTTGCTTACTGGTAAGGGCTGTTAAGGAATAGCGGCCTATGAGTGCGTTCATATTTTTGTACGCTTTCATGTAGACATTGCGCCCTAGAACGGGCGTACTCATGCTCACGGTACGGGCGCTGTGTGGTTTGTAAATCGGTGACGGCTTTAAAAGGTCGTGTGCGTACGCTCGTATTTTTGTACGTTCTCATACAGACATGTGTGTATGGCGTCGTACGTCTTATAAAGAGGCAGACGAATGCATGCAGATGGGGGAGTACGCCTTTGCACTAAAAGCCCCAAATCAGCCCGCATTGAGAAGCCCAAACGCGACTTCACCCCTCACCGTGATCACGCGCAGAAATTTGCTGCCGATGTATTTTTGTTAATAGCGGCTCAATGGGAGCGATTCACACGCAATTTTGTGTGCGTCCTCATCTAGAACACTCATGCGGAAGAGGGTGAATAAACCACCTGCATAACCCAATACTGTACTTTCGCAAGCAGGTATGCACGCGAATACAGGTGCATCGTCTTAGCTCTCTTGTGTCGAAAATGCATCGTCGGGAGCACTTGGTCTTGCTAAAACCTTGTTTAGCCCCCCAATGCTGATTCGCCCCAGGGGCTCGGTGGAGCGTGCATACAGTTGCAGTTGTTCTGAAACTGTCGAAACACTTTGGCGTTGGACCTAACAGCGTTTTCTATTTTTGCTCATTTGGACCCCGTCCACTTGAAGAACTAGGAGCACGTAGTGAACTGGGCGCACTGCGTTTGAAGATGGCTAGGACCTGCGCACAGGTCAAGCACGTGGCTGCACCTGCGCCCAGCCCACCAGGCATACTTCTACCACAGGTGGATACAAAAGTTAGCACTTGCTGTGTTCGGCTATTGTGCCTACGTAGGCGAAGTGGTTTAAAAAGGACCTGTCTTGGTTTGTACGTTTGCAACCCTTAACAGTTGTCAGTGGTTGTTCTTCTCATAACAGGCCTTAGCACCGGAGTCTGGGGTGTGCAGCCACAATTTGGCCCTCGAAAGGGAAAAGACAAACGCCGTCATCTACCACTGTCACCTTCAGCAGTTCGTTCACTCTCACTTATGAATGGACTTCCTCAGGGCGCCTAACGGGCTGGTGAATGTACAAGTCGAAAGAAACAAATGTTTTGTGCGCATATCTGACTGGGATAAACATGCAGCTGAGTGTAACGAACAGCTCGCCCCTAACGAACAGTTTGCCTATCTGCAGGGCAGAGGGGTGGGGAACCTCGCCCTGATTTCAAAATCTGGCTACAACGCCTCAACCATCTCGACGTCCTCCTCAACTGCTACAGCCGCTCTTACCTCTTCAATGTGCTGGCTGAAAAACGGTGTGGTGCCGATCTCATAAGGAGTATACACACCCTTCTGCGCTTCACGGGCGGGGGAAGCGTATTTGCGTATGTGCTTTGTCTCATCTTTCTTAATTATGCAAATATCGACATTGCCACCACTGCCTAGATCGTTCATTACACCAGCAGTTATCGCGGAACACACCAAAGCGACCGCTTCTTCTTGAGTCATTCCGTCCTTAAACCCTGAACGGCAGAAGTACCGCACAACAGCAAGGATGAAAACGTACACCTTACGTGGGAAGCACGGGACGAGCTGAAGTTGGCTGGAGAAGGCTATTTACATCTTTTACGGAGCCGCATGAAGATGTACTTAACACATCGTGCAAAAGACCACAGGCTGAGAATGATACCGACTCGAAATGCAAATACACCTCAACCTCACCGGCCTCCAGCACTGCCATTGCGTTAAGGCTGCCGCTGCCCATTGCCGCGTAGCTTGCTGAGTCCGTTGAGCCGTGGGGATGAATTTTGTACAGAGAGGGCCCACGTATGTCAACGCCACCAAGCACTATGGCGCAGCCGCGGTAGCCCTGACGCCACATACATGCACAGAATTACACTGCGCACCCTGGTGCGACAGCTAATAACGCAGATGACTGTTAGTGCCCCCGACAGCTGCACCGCTTTAAAAGCAGCCACAGCTCCTACTGCAGCTGCTCTTGCAGCCCCATGACTTCGTATAAGAGGTGATATACACATGCCTTTTGAGCGTTTGGAGCTCACATAGTACGTACCTGGTACTTGAAAAGCTCTTGGCTCAGCACGCAGACAGCCATGCTTACGCGGGCTTGCTGCAAAAGACCCAAAACCAAAATTCTGAGCCCTTAATCGTATAGCCTACGCGTACAGTAAAATTATTCCCCTGAAGTACACGCCTCCCTAGTCTGAGGCTTGGCGTTTGTATCCTGTGGGCGATGGGTATCACACAATACCCCTGTTAAAGACACCTGTGCGCGGTGCGCAGTAAACACGCTCACAGTCGCTCAGGGCTATGGCTATACGTTGCACATTACGCTTTAGACGGCTAGGATTTCCGACTCTCGTTAACGCTATGGTGTACCTTTGCGTAGGTGTTGAGTCTGTGCAGCTCGACCTGGGTGGCGAGCCAGTCGCACATGTGGTCGAGGTCTGCTGCAGTGCCTGCACCAGCTGCGTAGATGTTACTGCTGATTTTGTGGAGTTTGTTGCAATTCTTATCCGCAACAAGGGGACCCTCGGTTGCCCTTGTGTCGGCCCCCAGCACCACACCGTCCTGAAATATGACACCACATATGGTCGTGCCTGTCTTGCGCAGAGGAGGCATGCGAAAGCCCCCTGCTGCTGCTGCGGCAGGAACGCCGGTCGATGACGAAGCAGAAGAGCTCGGACCCGCTGCTTCAGTGGCGGCAGCAGAGCGCAGTAGTAAGGATACATTCCGGCTGTGGTTGCTGAAGTCAAACCCTCCTAATTGGCGTTGCAGCTGTTCCACAGAACCCATTTTGTCTGTTCACTTTTTTTCTGCTGCGGTATACTGTTCTGGCTTTTGCTGTCGCTCTTGCTGTGAAAGTTATCGCTGTCGAGCTACGGTGTGTGCAGGCCTTGACACCAGAAAGCCCGTCATCGACAGTTTAGTGAAACTTAATTTGTTCAGTCAGCGCTAAGTATATAGAACAGGCATTTGCTGATCCTCAATAGCAGCAGCGCCAACTGCAGCAGCAGCTGCAGCAGCAGCAGACAGCATCCCCTCCCTCCCCCACGGCCTAGGCCCCAGTACCCAGGGGCCCCCCCTTTCGGACCATGCCTCACGTTAAGGGTTCTATGGCTCAAGAATTAAATTATTTAGTCCTTTTACTACTTTTTGTGCTATATAGGGATACATGAGGGCCAATGTTTTCTACCCGCACCGGAGTTTCATTGTTTTGTGTGTAGGGCTGAAAGTGTGAGGCGTCTATATCGCGAAGAAATTATTAGAGCGATAGGGTGAAAATCCCCTTCCATCCCAGATCCCTAGACTCAGACTCTGGAGCTGAGAGATTGGGAATTAGGTTTTAGAGTTTAAGGCTCCGTGGGACATCGCCGGTGGGCGCGAGGTGTACCGACATCCTGTCGGCCCCACCTTCCGGCGCCACAGCTCACACGGCAGAAGCAGCAACAGCAGCAAAGGGAAATCCCGCGCTGCTGCTGGAGTGCAGTATCATGGGAAAGCCTTGTGATGTAAACCTCAGTGGCAACAGGAACGGCAGCAGCAGTAGCAAGAGCAATAGCAGCAGCAACAGCAGCAGCAACAGCAAAGATACCAAGGGCAGCAGCAACAGCAACTGCAGCACAGGATGCCCAACAAGCGATGCTGCATTGCCAGCGGCAACTCCCCGGGGCCCATCCGAGGAAGAAGGAGCAACGGCAAGTACTGCTGCTGCTCACCAAAATGCCGCTGCAGCTGCGACAGCGGCAGCGACTACGGCAAGTCCAGAAGAGACACAACACAAGGAGCAACAGCAACAGCCGCAGGAGCTTTCGAGTGCAGTCCCGCCTTCTAGCGTACACGGAATAATGCCACGCGGTGCTGTATCAACTGGTTCAGTGGGCTCGCCGGGCGCTCATGACAGACCGGACGATGACGCCGCTCCTGGGACCCAGTCTGCTGCTACTGCTGCTGCAGCTAGCAGCAAAAGCAGCAGCAGCAGCAGCGTTTTGGGTTCTCTGTTTGCTATGCGCCTACCTCACTCGGATGGACCTGCGGCTGCAGAAATGGAGGCAGCGTTACTGTCATCTGACGGAGGTCCTGCAACCTCTGAAGGCGCGATATGTTCTTCTTTGGCAAAAGCAGAAACCGAAGCAGAAGCAACACCGGAGCCATCACCTCCGCTAAGAAGTTCGGGGGCAACTTCCCAGCGTGCCAGCCGGCAAGTTGGCTTCGCCAGACTCAGGACCTTCGACAAAATTAATGAGGTTTGTTTTTTCGGCCATTGCCGTCTCAACTTCTTGCCATTTCAGCTGCCTACCGTGTTGACGCCGCTAGTTTTGCAGCAGCTTGTGCTGCGGTGGCACTGTTTAGTGCCGCAAGCTGGTATTTGCAGTGGTCTTGTTTTTTTCTTCGTGCTCCTTCTGGCTGCACTACTGCAGGCCTTGCGGTTGTCCGAGACAGAAGAGAAGGAGCTTTTGGCCATAGCGCAGCAGCAGCAACAATTGTTACCCGGCATGCAGCGTGGCCGTTGGCTACAGGCCTGGGTGGAGCCCTTTGCTGCTGGTCCTGCCCAGCAGGTGCGTTTGTGTCTTTGTTCTTACCTTAATCTCACTTTGCCCTTCTTCTAAATTTCACCGTTTTCTTGTCCGCGTCTCTCGTGTCGCCTCTGTGCAATTCTCCGTCGCCTTTTCTCCCCGTGCGTGCTCGTCTGTTTCTGTGCGTTCGGCTCTCTCTCTCCCTCCTGCCTACTTTCTTTTCTCGCAAGTTGTTTCCGTTTCTCGTGTGCATGCCTGCGTTTGTAGTTTTGCTGAGCTACTCCTCTTCTTTTCCGTCTTGCCTGCTATTCGTTTCTGTCTCTACTTGTGGCTGGAGCCGTTTTCTCTCAATGTTGCTCCCATCGTGTCCTCTCTGTGCGCTTCCGTACTTCTTCCTTACAGTATTAATGCACGTTTCGTTCACTTTTGTCCTCCATTCCCCTACTTCTTGTTCCTCTTGGCGGGCTTGACGTTGTACTGTTGCTTCGGCATCGCTACGGCTGCTTCAGGATGGAACAGCGGCAGCAGCGGCAGCTGTGCTGCCTCTGTCTGTTCCTGGAGGGCTCTACACTTTAGGAGTTTCTGCTTCGCGCCCCGCCTTCCTTCCTGCTGCTGTTCCTGTTGCTGCTGCTGCAGCGTCTTCATCGCAGGAGCGCCTCACCGCAGCAGCAATAACAGAAGCTGCAGCCACATCTGCAGCTGCCGCTGCAGGTTCTGCAACCGTTTCAGCAGGAGCTGTTGAAGTGATGGAGGTTGTAGCTGAGGCCTACAAAAGGGTGGCGGAGTCCTCTGTCCCCTCAAGGCGCATTAGAATCCCTACGGGCGCATTTCGACCGGTCAGTCGGACGTTACATTTATCAAGCTAAATACGCGTTTCTGCACCAAGCTGTATGACGTCCTTTGACAGCCTATGTAGACGTCGTGCTGACCCCACGGTGCTCAGGCTTGGCGCGGCATTTGCCTCGCCGCTGTGTGGATACGACCGCATATCTGGTGATTTTGCTGCTGCTTTTGAAGGCCAACGATGTGCTCTTCTTGGTGCCGTGCTATGTTGCAGCGGGGAGACCTGCAGAAAGGCCAGAAGCCCGTTTGTCTTCGCTTTGCTTCTGCTACGGTCACTGCTATTCGTAGTGCACCAGCAGCCAAAGAGCGCCGGCAGCAACAACAGCAGCAGCATGTGACGGCAACGGCATCGGCAATAGCAGTAGCGGTAGAAGAGGAGCCAACGGAGCTGCAGCAGAAAAAGATTAGTTTGCTTCAATTTCTCTGTCTCCTGGAGCAACAGATATTTCTTTGGTGCAGTAGCACATCTCTCGAACACTACTCCTTAGCCTGCGACCCTGCGGCCCTGCAGGCGGCTGCTGCTGCTGCTGGTCGTAGCAGAAGCGCAGCAGTATCGGCAGCATCTGATGGGCATGTGCCCTTTTGGGAATACATGCTGGAAATTAAGCCTCCCGAAATGCCTCTGGAAGAATTTGTAGTGTAAGGAGAACATATGCAGGCATCACACAACAAGAGCAGCGCAGCAGAATTGACAAGCGAGCAATAGCAGCTGCATCAGCAAAGCACGAGCTGCACAGTCAGGGCGACCGCCATCAGGACGGCAACAGAAGATGCAGTAGCTACGTACGTTTGCTTGCAGCCTGCGTTCCTTATTGCTTCTGTTTGGTTCCTTTGTCTGCCTTTTGTTCAGCTGGTGCCAGAGGCCTGTTGGCATGCCAGTTGAAGATTATCTGCAGTGGGTCTGCATCATACTCCCATCTCTCCCTTTCCATTGACCGAAGTTCTTGTTTCGCGTGTCTGTTGAATGGATCGTTTTTGTTCGCTTTTCTGTTTTCCTCATTGGGACTGCCTTTTTTCCCTGCCTTTTTTTCGATTACGTGCATCGGCTACGTCGTTTGTTTGCTCGTTCGTACCGTTCGCTCGTCTCTTTATTTTTTGGCCCCTATATTTTCTCGGTCTCTTCGCTAGCGCCATGACGTCTTTTCACCATCGTGCTTCTATTTACCCCATCGTGCTTTTATTTCTGCTGTGATGTTCCTCCTCCCTTGGACGTTTACGGGCTTTGGTCATATATATATGGAGTCCTAGGCGCTGTTTGCGGACTGCCACTGTAGGCTGTTACAGCTTGCAGGGCAAGTGCCAGAACAGCCTGCTACCACTTCCGTTGGTGCTCCTGCGGCGGCAACGGCAGGCCAAGTAGGGTCTAGCTCAGCAGTTGCCAAACCAGGCAGCATGCATTCAACAACAGTCACAGCTGCTGCAGCCTTACCCGCAACAGCAACATCAAAGCCACAATCAACAACAGCAGCTCAAGCAGCAGCTGTAGCGGGGGAATTTTCATTGGTGCTGCTAGGGGGAGTTGTAGCTTATTGCCAGGAAGCGACCGATGCTGTTGGCTGTCTCCTTGAAGATTGCCGCGCATTTGATAAGAGCCTGAAGGCCAAGCTTAGGCAGCAGAAGAGAATACAAAGACAGCATGCAATACACAAGAAACTTGAGAAAACAGTCAGCACGCATATATTTCTGGACCAGCTCTCGCTGCTGTTGCTGCCCATGGTGCTACCATGATGTTCACAGTTTCTTGCCGTTTTTGTTGACAGCCCACGCCGCCGCACTAGCTGCTTCAACAAGGTAGCCGTAGATACCGTGCTATTGGATCAGTTATGCATTTGCCGCAGTTGCGCAACTGGAGCGACTGCTGCTGCTTTCTGCTCGTCTCAGATGAGGTCTAACTTTTTCGCATTGGCTCCCAAGTGTCTGCGGATGCTTCGCAATGGAGCCTCATTCTTGCACGCACAGGACTCGGTGCTGCACGGAAGGAGGCTCAATCTGCTGCAGTGGCAAGGCAGATCTGCTGCTGCTCACGATGCTGCGGGCGAAGCCGCAGAAGCTACACTGTCAGCAAAGGCCCCCGCCCTTCACGAGTTGTGCTGCTACACCTCCGCGCAGAACGCCGGAAGCTGCAGCAGCAGCAGCACGAAAGTACTGCGCATGCAGGGACTTGTTGGTGCGGAGTTTGCTGCTGACTGCGAAGAGATCATACCGCGGGCAAAGGAGGTTCTTGACAGATGGAAGCAGGCACAAAAGTTGCAGCAGCATCAGCAAAAGGGAGAAAAAGCCAAAGGGGAAGCTCAGGAAGGCATCCACGAAGGGGAAGAGCAGTTTTATGCGCAGGTGAGTTCAGAGCTGAGGACTTGCAGTTCAGGCTTCAGAATGGAGTGCTGAGTCATATACGTGACTTTCATTTTAGTGGGACGTACCCGCAGGCGCTGCAAGATCTGCTGCAGCGAAGCGAGACGCTTGCGAGGGAAACGGATGCAAGAGACAGGCGACAGGCAGCAGCAGAATTTGGACTGTTCCCACCAACACAAGACTGTGTGTCGAGAGTGCTTAAAGCGTCAGGCGTAACGTAGAAGATCTGGCTCCGTCGCTGCCTAGTTGTTCTACTCTAATGCAATGTTTGCAATTCAGAATCAAGGCTGTCTCATTGCAGCTTATGCTCCAGCCGCTGCCATTGCGACATTGGTTGCGGCTGCTGCTGCCATGTGCGAGCTACGGCTGCAGCTCTTTTTGCTTCTGCCTGCTTTCTCTTGATGCTGCTTCAGATGTTCCACCCGGATTTATGCTGTGGCGCTGCATTGGACTATCGGGACGTGCTGTCTTGTGGCAGTTGCTGCACAAGGAAAGTTTGGATTTGTTTGTAGTTAAATACCACTTCCTATCTCCTTCAACAGTGGCAAATCTCGCCGCACAGGCGTTGCAGCAAAGGCAACGGCTGCGGCTTCAACTGCAGGAACAGCAGCAGCAGCATCAGGAACAGCAAGGGCTGCTGCTTCTTCAGCAGAGAGTTGCTTCTGCCTTGCAGCATCTGCAGCAATTCGCTGCAGAACCGCAGCAGCGGACTGTAATATTTGCAACTCATGCGGAGATGAAAGGTTTCCATCTGCTTGAGGTTGTACCCTATCTGGAATGTAGGTATACCCTATTTTGTTCGTGTGTGTCCTGCTGCTGCTGGAGCCGCTGCTGTTGAAGCTGCTGCTGCAAAGTCTTCTGCGGTTGATTGTTGGCGCAGCCTTTTTACCATTGTTTGCAGCAGAAGTAGCTGTTGCAAGAGGCACCCTCTGGTTGCTGCATGAAAACAGACATGGCTAGGAATTGCCTTCGCGACTACTGCTACATGCGCAGAGGAGAGCGTTGTCACAGCTGGTGCTTCAACCCTTGTAAGTGACGCTAACGCACCACAAGCTGCTGTTGCAGTTTTTGCTTGTGTCCCTGCTGCAGGTGTATGTTTGGAAGAAATGTTGGGCTCTGGCGTGTCTTACAGCAGCCCTGAAGGCTTGGTGTCAGCCCAGGCAGTGGTGCTGCAGTTGGCGTCTGCGATTGTTTCCCTGGGGCCTATTTGTTTTTTATTGCCTGTAAAACTTTCCAGGGTCTTCGTACAGAAGGATGAAGTTTTCTTTGTTGCAGGACTGCCTCTATCCTTAATGCTGCAGCCTCCTGCTCCTGTTTCCCGTCCAGCTGCAAACGCGTTGCCTACAGGAGCGGCCAAGGGCAAAACGGCTTCGCCAGCAGTAACGCATGCAGCAATTCCGGCAACAGAAAGCTCTTCCTCAGCGAGAAGTGCACATGCAACACAACGAACAGCAGAGAAACCAGCAGCAATAGCAGTAGAGGCCCTAGCATCAGCAGCAGCACCAGTGGCACAGACAGGAACGCACGTGCAGTGCAGCTTTATCTCCTCCCTGCGGATCCCGACGGCAGCTGCGGATTTATGGGCAGAAGACTTTTGCTGCTGTCTCCCTCCCGAGTGTGTGAACAACTCCGATCAATTTTTTTGCTGCCCAGAGACTGTGGATAAAGCACATGCGTGGATGCTGGGTTTACTGCTGTTGCGCATCATTGCTGGGGCCGACCGATTCCAGAAGAGAAGGAGATGGGGGGCAGAGAGCCAGCAGCAAATTTACACAGCAGTGTCGCAGGTTGGAGACGCGAGAACTCAGGTGAGTTGTTGTTAGTGCGTGTGCTCGTCCTGCTGATTGCATGCGCTGCCGCATCGCGCGCCGAGCGTTTTGTCTGCTGCTGCTCCAGAGAATTTGCAGGGTGTCCGTGATAGGCGGGCAGGGTAGGCCATACAGTTTTTGCGTCCACTTGTGCTTTCGCTGCTGTTTCAGGAATTTCTGCGTGACTGTCTGCAGAAAGACCCTTTGAAGAGGCCTACCCTTAGCCGGCTGCTGGCATCTCATCCATATCTGCAGCATCATCGCCAGTACCAGCATCAACACGAGCAGCAGCATAAGGTATCAGCGACGAGTAACGTCCTTCATCCCGAAGCCAGCAAAAGCATCTCGCCGACAAAGCCCTGCAGTAATAACCAAAACAACAGCTGTGGTAGTTTCATGCCCGAAGCAACAAATAACGCAACAAATTGTGCTGAGCCTATTTCCTCTGCTGCTGCTTCGTCTCACCCCCCGCCAGCTCCTGCAGTAGCCGCAGCAGCAGCTGCGGCTCCTGTACTGGACCTTTCTTGCAGCAGAAGCTCTCGAAGAAAGCGGCAGAATTCTGCCCACTGTGTCCCCGATGATTGCAGTTTCGCAACATCTAGCAAGCCAGAAACAGCAGCAGCACCACCTGGAGTTGCAGGAGCAGCAAAAGGTGTGCATTCGGGAGCCCCTAGTCCTTCTCTACTGCCTCCTTTGCTGGGTTTACGCCTGCCCCAGCAGCTGCAGCAGCACCCTGCAGCAGCGACAGCAGCGGCAACAGCCGCAGCAACTCGTCTGGCAGACTGCTGTGATGCCCTGTTTGGCGATGTGGGGCGTTTGGTACCGGCGCTGATTAGAGACAGAGAGAGACGGAGACAGCGGGGTGAGGAAGGAGTTGCCTTTTACAGGCAGAATGACCCTTTAGCCATGTATTCTTTGCCTCCAGAGTCTGTGCCGCCTCCAAGTTCCCGCAGTCCGACTGCTGCTGCAGTGGCGGCAGCGAATGCTGGATTGCAACAGCAGCAGCATGCTGGCTGCGAGGCGCAGTAGACGGAGGCAAGCACATAGTTGCCCGGCATGAACAGCAAGGCTGCTGTTCCTGCGGCTGGCGTATCAGTCGCACAACTTGAAACAGTAGCGAAAACAGCTATTGCGGCATCCGTTCGGCTGCTGAGTCAGCAGCTGCTCATAGGAGCCTCACGTCCCTCAAATATCGATGACGAGACTTGCAGACGCGACAACAACGGCAGCAAGGACAGTTGCTGCTAAGCGCTTGTCCCATTGTTCGAAGGGAGATTTTCTCTGCATCTGGAGAGGCCGTGGGGAGCTAGCTTATCACTGTATCTTCACTTCTGTGCGTGCTTATCTTTTTACTTCGAACTGTTCCTCTCCCCGTTAGCACGATGTGACTCCTATCCTCGTGTTTTTGAACTGTGTGGCCCCTCCAGCATGCGCCTTTTTTTTTGTTTTCGTTGCGTACACTGCTTTCGTTCCGTCCTCTGTATGGTTTGACTTGACGTTCTGGCTTGTTTGCTCCCGTGTCACCTAGTCCCCCCATAACGCCAGGAGGCGTTGCTGTTGGTCTCTGCGCTAGGCATCTTGTCGCCTAGGGTGTTTAAACACTCGGATTTAACCTCGGAAAGTTCGCAACTTACGATTAGGACGGGACTTTGGGCCTCAAGGATCCATGGTGTGTAAGATCTGGAGCTAAGTATTAGAATGAGGTTCAGGGTTTTGGTGTTTAAGCACTCGGATTTAACCTCGGAAAGTTCGCAGCTTACGATTAGGACGGGACTTTGGGATTCTAGAATCCGTGGTGTCTAAGATCTACAGCTCAGCATTAGAATGAGTTTCGAAGTGCGAAGGGTAGCGGTGCAGTAGTCTGGGTCTTTGCTTGCCACTGACGGACGCCCTTCATAGTGAATATTCATACACAAAGCTGGCTGCTCATATATGCTAGCAAGACTGTAAAGCAAGCAGCCATTAACCAATCTGCATCGAAAAATGCCGCGTGCCAACTTCTGCGTCTAAAGTGACGCAGCACGCATCGGTCTCAAGCCATTCCAAACGAAATGAACACTCCACTGCGTCTACTGAGCACAGGGGCACAACGCCAGACGAGCGCCGCAAGCGCTTCGGCGACTGAACGGACGACGGACACAAATAGCTTCGCTGCAACAGCAACTCCTGCCAGTCCATTTAGTTCTTCTGGCAAACTGTCACCGCTGGGGTGCGCAGGTTGCTGGCACGCCCTTGTAAGCCGTTGTGACCGAGGCAAAAGAAACGGGAAGTTGGTGAACGCAACAAACAACAAACGGCCGAGCCGGCCTTGCAGGCATACACGAGAGGAGGTGCAGATACAGCAGCACGGAATCTACAACGTTCAAGCCACACCCAGCAGCGAATGCGAATCGACAGTAGCTGCAACAACCGCATGACTCTAAAACGTCTCTTCGTGCTGCTTCTTTATTTGGTGTAGGCGAGCCGCAGTATCAATAATACCAGCAGCTGCAGGAACAGCAACGCAAGGGGAAGAGTACTAGGCACAGCCAATAGGGGGGGAGAAAGGCTTGCGGCGTACACAAGAGGAACTGAGCTTCCTTGTTTCTCACGGCTTTTACAAATGTAAGCACAACATGTATTTTTGTCTTCTACAGCTTATTTATTCAGTTGTGGTTGTGCTGTAAGAGAGGAGCAGCAGCAGCAGCATCAGCAAGCCCCAGGAGGTGTCGCGACGCGTGGGAGCATTTGCCTCTTGCGCAATGATTTAAAGTTTTATTTTTCGTTTTTCATTTATTGCGTGCCTATTTACTCTACAGCCAGTCGCATCGCAACCGTACAGGGGTCCCCCAGAGGCAACGAGAGCTGCAAAGACACTGGGGCTGAGGACGGGTTTTCGCTCAGCAGTAGGACCACCTGCAGCACTGGAACCAACGGCGACACTGCAGTATGCAGAAACAGAAGTAATAGCAGCGGCTACAACAGGAACAGCAGCAGTGCTACTTCCTCCGCAGCCACACAGCTGCAACAGCTGCTGCAACAGCAGCAGTTATAGCGCGAAGGACGCTTTGAGCTTCCTGGCGCTTTTTGCGCGTGAAGTTTTGGGTGGATGTCGACACCAGTAACGCCGCCATCAGCGACAGAAGGTATAGCAGTAGCAGTAGTAGCAGCAGTGCGAAATACCGCAACAGCAAAACTTCGAGATCAACTCGCGGCCATAACGACAAATGAAATGAAGTCCTAGTGATTGTTAGTGTCTATGAAAGCAAATCAGGCAGAAGAAACAGCAGGAACAACAGTAAGAGCTCCATCAACGGAATACGAGGCAGTAGCACGAGCAGCAGGAACCGCAGCGTTGAGGTCTCGTTCATCAGCGTTGCTGCCCGAACTGCCAAATCCAGAAACGGGAGAGTTAACCTCCCCACCGCCATATTAAAGGTCACTGCCATTAAAAGCGGCGGTACAGAATCAAGAATAGCAACATCAGCGGTAGCAGGATGGCGGAAAAGCGTCGTCTGCAGCAGGAAGTGGAGCGCACGCTGCGACGCGTGGAGGAGGGCTGTGAGCTGTTTATGGATTTATATGTGAAATTCAAGCAGCAGCAAACAGCGAAGGTTGAGGGGGAGCTGAAGAAGGAAATTAAAAAGTTGCAGCGCTTAAGGGAGTCCATAAAGGCGTGGCAGACTAATGTCGATGTAAGGGATAAGGGGCCTTTGGAAGACAGCCGTAAAAAGATTGAAAAATGCATGGAAACCTTCAGACAGTGCGAGAAGGAAATAAAGACGAAGGCCTTTAGCAAAGAGGGACTGGCAGCGAAGACGCGAGATGGAGAGGACCGACACAGAGAGGCGCTGCAGTTGCTGCAGCAGCAGCTGCAAAGGGAAGCCGCACTACTTGAGGCGGAAATGGACGGTCTAGACAGCAAGAAGGGGAAAAGGGACAGAGAAAGAGACAGAGAGAAAAAACGAATCAGCCTGCTGCTTCAGAAGCACAAGCAGCATATCACAAAACTTACCGAGGCACTACGTCTGGCCGACAGCAGTAGACTCTCCCCATCAGCAGCAGCAGCAATAGCAGTGGCTCTTCAAGACTTTCTCAGCAGCAATGGGGACCCCGCCTTTGTCTTTGATTCCTCTGTCTACGACTGCATTGCAGCGGAGCACAGCGACTCTGCAGAAGGCTCAGAAACTGAAGCTGCAGACAACAATTCGGATGCCACGCTGTGTAAAGCACACACAGCTGCGGTTGTTGCTGCTGCCGACCTGGTTGCTCCAGCTACCGTTGTGCTTGCTGCTGCTGAACCGCTTGCTTTTTGCACTGCCAGTCATGCTGGTGGTGCATGTGCAGCTGGTACACTTGCTTCTGTGGTCATTACTTCTGTTGCTGCTGTCCAGTGCGTGTTTTCCTATTCCCTCTGTTGCTTCTGTCCCAGTTGCGGTATCTGCTTGTGCTTCCGCTGAAGCAGTTTTTTTCGGTTCAAGGGCGTATCTTGTGGAGTTTTCAGATGGTGTTGCTGCAACTGTTGCTCGCGTTGCTGCTTTAACTTCTGCTGTGATGTGGTTGAGTGCTCAAGCTATGTTTCTCTGTCCCTGTTTGCACGGCTGTTGCTGGTAGTTCTGGCGCATTTGTTTCGCATTTGTGGATCATTGCCGTTGCAACTCTTGTCGCTGCAATCGCAGCATTTTTCGACTTTCGCAGTTGTTGGGTGTGCAGCTGTCGACTTTGTTGGTTCGCTTTTTACGCTTTTTACGTGCGCAGCGGTAGACACACCTGCGAGTTCATCTATTGAAGCTGCAAGCAGCAGTTCTACCCGGGGAAACCGCAGTACAAATAGCAACAAGCCGACGGACAGCAGCTCGAGCAGCAACCGCAGAGCGCTGAGCGTTTCAGAGGAGCCTGAAGGCACCATGAAGAGAACCAGCAGACGCAGCAGCAGTCCCAGCAATACTTCCAGCAGCAACAGCAGCAAAGGCAGGCAGCAGCAGCAAAGTCAGCAGGGCAAAGGAGCTGCAGCAGCAACGGAAGGGGCGGCACCCTCTCCTTCTTGCTGGTCGTCGCTGCCACAGCAACAGGGATCACAGCAGAGCTCTCCCTCTGCAGCATCTCTAGCCGAGCAGCGTGCTGCTTCACCGGCTACAGCAGCTAACAACCGCAGCAATAGTAGTAGTGGCAGCAGCAGCAGCAGCAGCAGCAAGGCGAGTGAAGCAGGCAGCGTCTGGAAAACAGGTAGGCTGCATGCAGCTACTGCAGAGCAGCAGCGAACGCAGCAGCTACAAGGCCTTGGCTCCCCAGCTACGGGAGATAAGCAGCAGCAGCAGAGGAGCGGCGTTGTTGGAGGAGGTGCAGCTGGAGTAACTGTAGCTCCCTGGAAGGGAAAAGCAGCAGCAGCAGCAGCCGCTGGTGCTGCTGCATCACCTTCGGCGCAAGCGACAACAGGTGTTGCGGGAACAGCAGGGTCAGGTTCTTCCGCGAAGGGACAGGGCAAGCAGCAGCAGCAACAGCAGCAACAGCAGCAGCAGAGGGCAGCTGCGGAGAGCAGCAGCTCCACCACGAATCATGGAAACGCAGCAGCAACGGGAGCAGCTCCAGCAGAGCCGCAGGGGGTTCCGTCCGCTGGATTGAGCGCGGCAGTTGCCCCGCAGCCGCCGACGAATAGTATCGCCTCTGACCGTATGTTGGCACGCACTTTACGTAATTTGTGGGCGCGCCTCGCCAGCTCTGACCTTGTCGCGCTTGTGCCATTAATTTTATCCTTAAGGCGTCTTGAATCGGTGTATCTATTTTCCGCCCTCATTTGTGTGTTGCTATCCGTTCATATGTAGTGCTTCATCTGCCGTTGTGTTTTGCTGCAGTGAGTGTTGTTGCTGCTGCCGTTGCTGCTTCCTGCTACTCTCGCCCGCTGCCCCAAGACACAGACTTCTCTTCTTCGCCGTCTCCTGCGTCTCCTTTCTTTTGGCCCCCTTGGGTCCCTAAAGGAGAAACAATGCCCCCTTGCATTTATCTCAGAGCTCCCTGGGGGCCTCCAGGCGGACCTCTGGGGGCGCCGACAGGGGCAGCCCAAGTCGGGAAGCCGCCAGATTGCTTCCCCAAAGGGCGTTTGGCGGCTGCAGATGAACGAAGTTTCTTTCGTGGTTTGGAAACAGATGCTCTGTTCTTTGCCTTTTACTTTCAACGGGTAACGAGTTGACGTGGTTAGATCAACTGCTATGATTCGTTTGCTCTTTTCTTTTGCCCGCCTAAAGCGCTCAAGTGAGCGCGTCTCCGCTATGTTCCTTTTCTTCCGTTTTATTTCTGATTCTGCGTCGGCTACATCTGTCGCTTTATACCTCCTCTCGTTTATGCCCCATCTTGTTTGCCGTTCACCTCCCATTTTCCCATCCGCTTCCGTATGACTACTCCATAGCTCTTCTGCTGCATTATCTATATCTTCGTCCTGTATTTATCTGTCTGTGCTTTTATTTCGCCGTATCTCTGTGCTTGCAGTAGCCCTCACCCGCATTTTTTTGTCTGCCACGGCGAATGGTTCAGGAGCAAACAGTTTAAGTAGCAAGCCAGCATAGGAAGCTAGTAATTTGCCCATGCCATTTGTTTTGACTGCGTTCACCAGGGCACAGTGCAGCAGTTACACGCTGCGCGTGAACTCAAAGCTCTGTCGTGGCGCTACCACAAGAAGTACCAAACTTGGTTCCAGAGACTGGAGGAGCCGAGGGTATCCACAGATAAATACGAACAAGGGGCCTATGTCTACTTCGATTATGATAATGGTTAGCGCGAAGCATGTCGATGTTCGTACTGATCGACTGCTCCCTTTTACTACTTGTGGTGTTTTGCTGTATTCTCGGTGTAATGCTCCTGCTAGAACCCGTAGTTACATTACTACGTTTCCATGTGATTTCCATGGCGTCGCTGTGAACGCTATTTTGACGCTGCACGTACCAGAGCCGTGGTACAACACTTGCTTTTGCCAGTGCTGCTGGTGGTGTGGAATGTGTTTCTGCCAGTGCAGTTTTAACACACGGATCTACGTTTTGCGTTGCTGGCGTTCTTATGCAGGTTGGTGCTCGCGCATAAAGCACGATTTTACGTTTGAGTATATTTACCTTGAAGACGAACTCCAAGAATAGGACGCAAAAAAAGGGAGCTGACCTCAAAGGAGGTAGCTGCTGAAATTGTTATTACGGCTACTTGAGCTGCTGCTTTTGTACTAGGAAGCTGCTGCATTGGCTGCTACTGCTGCAGCAAGAAGCTTCTGTAGACGTCGACTGAGGCGCAGCCTGCTCTACTCCAGCAGATCGCTGCAGATGCTGATGTAGCCTGCTAGTGCTGGTGCTTGCCAGCTCACGACAGCTTGCGGCCTGAAATTGGGTTTGTAACCTTCAGCCATGTGCAGCAAGTTGGTAGCCACCGAGCTCGCTGGAGAGCAGGCTACCTTGTGGCTGTCTGGTTTCTTTTTGATGCCTTTTGCATGCAGCGACTGCACGCATGTGTGCGGAGCAACTGTCGAGGAGACAAGGGGCTCAGCGGTGTCAGCACCCTTCAATCTCTTCCTTTTTCTCAAAAAGCATAGTGGCAGCTCTCTGCTGCCGATGAATGTGGAAGGTTGCCTCCACTTAACTTAGTTAACGCCACCTAGCTAGCTAAGCAAGTGGCCATCCACCTGAACAGCAAGCGAGCGAGCTGTGTAGTAAACTGGATTACGGTAGACTTATTGAGCTTCAAAGCATCGGGAAACTGCTCGTCCAACAAGCCAGAGACGCTCAGTGCCCTGAGCATCTCTGGCTTTGTGTACATGCTGCTTCCAGATAGAGTAGCTCCATACTGGGGAGCCCACTTAGCGTGCATTGCAGTTTGCACTCTGGCTGCCAGCTAATACATTCGAGTGACGAACAACAAGCTTTCCTGCGAAGTTAGGCGCCTCTGGTTAGGTACCTAGCAAGCTCTCAAAAATAGTGACATTCCGCAGATCTGGCAGAGGCCAAAAACGAAATGTCATCCGCTCTCCCGAGCTAGGGGAAAACACTGCAGTGGCTGCAGTAACTGCTGCCCGGGTTCACGCAATTTTCCAGTTTTTCTTTGTGACAACTCGTACTTTGGGTTTGATGGTGCTTGCTGCTACTTTTTCTGCCCGCACTTGTACATTTCCGTCTGCGGTGTCTTGGAGCTCCCGCTTGATGGCAAAGGCATCATCGGACAAATCGTAAATATGGGGAAATCGCGAGAAATTAAATGTCCAGTCCAAGCGTGTATTGGTTATGAAGAAGCCAGGGTAAGGAGGCAGGGGCGCGGATAGCTCTGTAGGTAACCGAACAACATAGTCGAATTAACCAAGAGGAATGAGCAGGAAAAGAGGAGAAAATAAATTTTCCCGTCAGAAAAACACGGATGTGAAGACCACCGATTTCTTTGCAAGCGCTTCCAGGGACATGAAGGCTGACGCGAATTGGCAACAGCGCGCAAAAACAAATAACTGATACCGAGGCCACGAAGAGTTGAATACACTGGAAAAGAAAATAAAAACTTTCAAGAGGAAAGAAGTGGGATGAGAGTTTCTCGACAGGAGCACAGACATTTGAATGCAAAAAGAGTGGAAGCGGACACGAGCCACCATTTTCGTCAATACCTAAGTGCATCCCGCTCAACTTGCTCGGGAGTCTGTCGCAGCACTACCAGTGGACCAAAATGGGACGCTGGCAGCAAAAACAACAGTGGCCTCAAACAACAAAATCAGTAAAAACGGCGAACACCATACTGCGCTAGAGGCGCCGCCACGACAGCCACTGTCATGTCATAAATCACATCAGCAGCAGCATCAGGGATACCACGTCTCACCCTGTACTGGAACAACGATTGGTGAGAGTTCCTGGTGCTGCAGTAGATCAGGTTTGTCAGCGTCAGTGGGCAGCGGAGGAACAACAACTAATAGGCGGCCGCAGTCAAATCGACTTTCTGCTCGTTCCCAAGCAGCAGGCCTAAGGCAGCGTAGACACGTTGGGGTATGTTTATTCGTTCGCCTATCTTGTTGAGATTACGGATCTCTGTATCTCTGTACTGATCAGTCTGGCTGTCTTCCTCTTCCCGTGTCCCTACAACTGCGATTGTCTCTTCCTCTTAACTTGCTTGCTGTTTCCTCCTTCATCTGTTCATCAGTGTCTCTCCAGCTTCTCTACTTTGCAGTTCTTTCGGCATTATGCCTCTGAACTCCTATCTGCCGCCTTCTGCTATCCCTTGTTCCTCCCGCCTGGCTCTCTTTTTGCCGCTGACTGCTTCCCTCTTCGTGGTCGACTTATTTATACGTGTTTCTCCCTATTCCATGTCCGCCTATTTGTAAGTCTGCACACTTGGCTCTATGCCGTGCATTGTATCCATTCGGCTCTCCTGCTTCTGTCTGCATTTTAGTGTTTTTGTTGGTGTCAGTCTTTGCCCCTTCTCCTATTGCTTAAGCCGAGCCTTTTTCTATCTGTCTATGAACTGTTAGGCCTTGTATTCTGGCATTTTTCCCCCTGTTTCATCCAAACTCCGTTGGCTTCATTCTCTTGATTTTGTGTCCGTCCTACCACGTGAGCCTAACAGCTCGTTGGTATCTTTGGTACTCCAGCCCTCTTCCCTGTCTGAACCTCGTCTTCTGCAAAAAACGAAACACGAAAGCCGAAAGCAAGTCACATGTGTTTCCACGCTTTCTCTGTTTCATCGTGCTTTATGGCGGACAGGCAGTATCGCTTGCAGCAACAGGCCTTTCAGCCTGACCCCACTAACCAGCAGGCAGGCTGAAAAGACAGGCAAGCAGGAAGAAATAGAGGAGATGACAGGCAAGCAAGAGGGGACGAAAGAAACAAATTAATTCATTTAACAGAACGGACGGACTACAAAAGCGCTGGAAATGAGGTAGGCGCGACGGCGCACAGTGAAGCAGAAACTAGACGAACAAGGACACCTAAGCAGAGACACTAAGACAGACGGAGAGACAAGACACTGGCCAAAGGCACAAAATAACAAATAGACAGCCATGCAGAGGCAAACTAGGAGAAGCACAGCAGGGCAATCGAGAGGCGAGAAGATAACTGTAGGAGAAGCGACACCGGCAAAGAGAAAAAGCACCTGTAGGAAGAAAACAAAAGAAATAAAAAACAAGGAAAACTGCAAGAATAAGGGACTTGACAATTGAGAAAGACTCCAGAGATAGATGCAGAGGCATAGGAAAGTAAGCAGAAGGGGAACAGAAGATGAGGCAATAGCAGGAGGATAACAGGGACCGGAGCCACAGAAAATGTAGCGAAGAAGGGCGACAGAAAATGCAAATACGGAGAAGACCGACAAAGACACAGGCGGTGAGAGTAAGGAAGGGCTTACGAACGTCTCTGCCTCCCATTTAAGCACGCGGCTGCTCTTCGGTGCATTGATAATAAGAGAAGGCAGCAAAGGAGGAGGGTAGCGGGGCTGTAGGCGGTTTGTAATTCTCTCTTCAGCGGCAGACACGGTCTCTTCTGGCCAGTGCCACGCATTCACGGTGTGCGTACGACTCAAGTCGCTTAAAACAGATGAGGACGCTCGAGGCGGGTCAAAACCTAAAATGAAAAAATACACACCTGTTGAAAGGCTCTTAAGCCTGTACACCCACCACTCAACACTTTTTTCACATAAATATACACACATATGCATGCAAACATATATCTGACACATGTAGATGCATTGATGTGAAAATTTGACTGAGCTGAGTACATATATGGGTATATAAGCGTGCATGCGCGTGCAAACAGCTTCTAACACCGGTATGTTCCTATGTAAACCGATACATACGCATATATATTTGTGCACGCATGCAAAGTATGTGCGGGCGTTTGTATGTACACGTCTGCGTATGCGTGCAAAGCCCCAGCAGTCGCGATTATTTTATCGGAGGGTTGCACATGCATATGTTTACATAATACGTCTACATAAGTGCACATGTTGATTCACTGGCGCAAATGTGGTCCACTGTGCAGGGGCTACCTGAATCCGTCTCTGCTTCCCTTTGCCTCCCTATCCAGGCTAGCTGCACTTTAATATCAGCTGCGTCTACACCCGGCAGCCAAACTTCCAGCAGCAAGCCACCGCCCTGGGGCTCCTCTACCTCTTCCTGTTCGTGCGGCCTCTCAGCCTGCGGCTGTTGTTGCTCCTGCTGCTGCGCGGCTAGCGTCAAGTCTTCTGGGAAGCTCACTGGAAGTGAGTGCTGCACACTAAAGGGTACAGGTCGGTTCACGGGTTTAGCCTCTGCTGTTGTCAACGCTTCCCTTGCCGTTTCTGCTGCCTCTGCTTCCGCCTCTGCCATTGCAATTGCTGCACCTCTGTAATACGCCTCATGACCGACACGCTGCAAATGTAAATCGAAGTCATAAAAGTAACTGAGGGCACCGAGAAGGCCTCCCGGCTGCTGCTGTTGTTGTTGCTGCTGTTGCTGATGCTGTTCCTCAAGCTGCTGCAGCTGCTGCTGTGTCAGGGTGGGCTTGAGCCAGTGGTAAATGTTAAGTCGGCCGAAATCACGAATGTCCTCCGGAACAGCAACACCGGTTCTCGACGCAGCAGCAAGGCGACTGCTATTCTTGCAGTATGAAAGCTGCAGTTCACCTGAGAGTGAACGAATCCACGCAGTTCCTCCACCAGCTCCACCCGTTACAACAGTTTCTACGATATCTACCTTCGGCTTCGCCACCTTTGAAGGCACAGAAATACACGCAGCAGAAGCGGGACAATGGTACTTCTCTATTCGTATCCTTGCGGTGGGCCGGAAGCTTCTCTTCAACAGGAAGCCGGGCAAGCCTCGAGTGCCTACGAGAGTTCCGTGCCCCCAGAACTCTCCGTAAGACGCTCCTCCTCTAGCAACCGCCAGCAGAAGGAGAGAGAATATAAAGGTAGCCATACAGCGTCGTGCCAAGGGGCCCCTGAAGGTGCCCTATTTAGAGAGGGTTGTCGGCAGTGGATGTGGGCCTCTCAGAATACCTTAATGTCCCCCAACCGCTTTAATTATCTACAAGCCTGCAAAACATTTATGGGCAAGAGAGAGATGGCCTCCAGCTTGCGTAGGATTGGGCGAATAGCGCCGTGGGGGGCATACGGCAGCTGGGACGACGGGGCCATACAGGTAATGGCAAGGAATGCTCGCGACTATACATCATGTCTACCAACTCATTGCAAAACGGTCATTCAAGATGAAGAAGTCAAAGCGAACGAGGATAGGACAGAAATATTTCAGAGTAGCCTCTAGAGGCGAAGCCGAAGCTGTCGTCCGTTAGTTTTGTCGCTCGCGTCGTAACTTCTCGTTTGTTGATTTTAACACTCGTCAATTAGAGCTGGCAGCGAAGAAAGTATAAAAACACAGGTAAAGGGACACTTTTCGCGGAACAAGTGCTCCCGAGGGGGATCGAACCCCTGACCTTCGGTTCATAAGACCAACGCTCTAACCAGCTGAGCCACGGGAGCTTACTGTAAAGCCGTGACGTAGTGGTGGGTGAATGCAAGTGAAGAGCAGTCAAGAAACAATCAGCTATTTGGTTGCCCACATGAAATGCAATCACAAAATGCAGACAATGGGACCAGTCGGAGCTGCATTGATCAGCATTTGAGATGAGTACAGGTTCGCGTAAGAGTGACATATACTAGTTGCTATTTCTTAACCGAAGTTAAGGGAAAATTTTCTCTCGCCTAGTCGCAGAAGCTTCAAGACAAAATGAAAAACTGTCTAGGTGGGGAGATAGACACATGGCATACCCACTTGCCTTCCATGCACTTCACTTGAGAGGTTCCTGAATCTTAGAGCAGAGTCTCCCGCCTTAGGGCAGCAGTCGAGAGGCAGTCGTGGCTCTCCAACCCGTCCGTGTTTTCTCAACTAACGGCACAAAATTTGGGCGTGGATGGGTGAGTTCTTTTGGTACAGTATGGCAGCTACAGTTCGCTCTGGACGTGTTCTACAGCTACGCTGACATTGTGGAACGCGGGACTTCCGGGGCTTACCCACTTCGCACAAAGTCGTGCATTGCTAGATACTCACTGAAGAGCATAGTAGATACTCTTTCCTACTGCCGTCGTGCTTAGAGCGGCCTGCAGACGTCACAACAGTGATTGAGACACCTCCACAACAGGGATTTATACAAGGTGCGAATTTGGCTGCAGGATGCATTGAAAAATTCATCAGCTTTTCACTGGTGTTGCCTGTGTCATAATGGTTCATGAAATACCGCTAATTTTGACATCCAATGGGTTGTCCGTACAATATTTGTGGGCTTCCCCTGCATCCAATACGCTTCTCATGCGTAGACAGTAGAACCCTATCACTTACCTCTCCGAACGAGCAACGTGAGCCTTCTGTGATTATTGTAGCGGTCTACTGTGCTGCACTAATTTTTGACTGGGTAGAGTCGCCTGCTGCCGACTGTCTGCTACACTACTTTGCTTCACGATTACTAGGACATGACTCGACAAAAAATGCTCATTTTAGTATTTATTAAGTAGTGTAGGTCCAGCATGTGGACAGGTGACAGCTGAATGTGGATGGATGCAAAGTGGCTTTGCGTTACCCCCATATGGCGGCATCCACCATGCTCGACAGGTTACGCACCGTCCCATCTTCCGAGGTGTGCTTACATTTGCGCAAGCAAGTGCGAGTAGCATGAGCAGTCGCACCAGCAGAACGAAACAAGCGCTATCACAGAATCAGAATCGATTTTCCCTCTCCTACAACGCATCCGAGTTGCTTTCCTACGTGCACTGGACCCAGGAGATGCCCCTATGCGACGCACAACAACAGGATGGGAGTAGACGGAGCAAGATTGGGATTCAGGAAGATGTTTAGCTCCTTTCTTCGCCAGAAAGAAGACTGTCGCATGCATAGCTGCGCACTGATGGCGAGCTACTGAACAAGAGGAAGTGAGATGTGCGTTGTGCCATCCGGCAAGGCCTCTCCCGCCTAAATTAGGCATAGCCTATGTGTACTGAGCAACGCTAAGCTAAGCGTTTCACAATAGGAACAGCGCGTCTCTAAACGCAAGAAGCGCCTTAAATTGTTGACAGAGAAGTGCAGTTTGAGTTTTGCCTGACAATAAACACATTGGATTTGTAAGTACCCTGTCTTTGAAGTAACACCGCCATATTGTGCTGGTGCAAAATGAGCCCCCCTACGCACTCACTCCGCTTAATCCTCAACAAGACTGCCCACTGCTAAGTAGAACATCCGACAATCACTGCTGTGCTTCATGACCGCACGCGGACGCTCATTGGTGTTAACTGCACCCCCAGAGGAACATTTGTGCGCAATATCTCCTTTAGCTTTAATGCACAATGGAATCTGGAGTTTAGCACGAGATCTTTGAGAAGGAAGGGGAAAAAAAATGCTCCCGAGGGGGCTCGAACCCCTGACCTTCGGTTCATAAGACCAACGCTCTAACCAGCTGAGCCACGGGAGCCACTGAAATCTTACCGTCCTCCACGAAAGGAGCACAGCTGAAATTATTTTATAAGTGCTAGACTATTATTGTCAGTGCGACTCTGGATTGTAGCGCCTATATATACATAGGCAGAACCGTAAAGAGACACACAAAAATGTGCGTCTCTGCATAGCCACAAAATTAAACTTTCCACACAAACAACTATATTTTACTCTTAAAATCTTTAATGTATGATACTGAAGACCGCTGCACCTTTCATATTTCTAGTTTCCTTAGTAGAGTGAGTAACTTATTAAGTGTGTCAGCTGATGTATAAGTGATCGAAGCGAAGAGCCTCGGTCATGAAAGTTTAAAAAATTCAGGAAGTAAATCTCACAGGAGTCGCTGCCATTGTCCTGTGTAAGCGACCACGTGCGTGCCCCGTGCTGATGTATTATTCGGCTAGATCTACTTCGAAGCCTGATCTAACTAAAGAATAGTTGCATATTAGTTGAGTAGCAACTTGAGCTAGTTAAAATGAAACGTAGCATTGGCTGACAACGAAATTTCTAGATTGCAATCTTTAAATCGTTCCGAAACTATTTCTGTGCACCGTGTTAGCACGAATGCGCGCTAATTACACTTTTCTGGGTGCAAGAACCCTTGATGTTTCTGGGCGCAAGAACCCGTAGTGTTGAGCATTTGGAAGTGCGCTAGCCATAAACCTGCGAGAGAGGCGCGTGATAGGTGCACGCGAACACACACCTTCCAGGATGTCCAGCTTCCGTAGGCCCTGTAAAACAAGCTTGCAGATAGCCGCGACTCACCGAAACCTCTCAACATGATGAGGCTGACGAGGGAGGGCCATTTTGGCTTACCGCGTTTCTCGATTACAGGCGCTTCGAACATCGGATAGGGTCCGACGGAGCGCAGAAAGTGATTTTGCAGGTACTTGAGTGGCATAAAACACATCAAATAGTGTTCTGAAGTAGTGTGCTGTAAGGCTTCCACTAAAGCGCCGACATGACAAGCAGATCCTCCTCATGCCAGGCTTCGTAGTAAAATTCCGACTTACAGGTTGCCACCGGACCAACTCGCAATCCAAGCAAGAATCAAGGAAGTTGTCAGTTAATGGATGGATTGGCTTGATCTGTGTCTATAACTCTGCTCCGACTATCATGCTTGGCTCGTACGAAGGCGCCTCAGGGGCCCTTCGCAAGCTTTGCAGCGCTGCAGCTCAACAAGGCAGTGCAACTCCCTGAGCCGAGCTCCGTAAGTGTTACGTTTGTTCCAGTTTTAACTCAGCTTGCCTGAGGATCTGTATTCACAGCATGTGGCGAGTCTGTTTACCGCGTTTCCGACTATATTCTACATAACGGCTCCACGATCACAGTCACGCGGTTGCTGGCCACCTTGGACCTATCTAGCCCTCAGCAAATATCACTTTGAATCAAGGATGCATGCCCATACAACAGCTTAAGTAGAGTCCTGCGTTCACTATCGTGCCTCTAAATCAACTCGTTGGATGTTTGCAGAGCTCCTCCCTCTTCTGGTCACTTCCTTTCGAGTTTGAAGTCGCCTCACTTTTGATGTAACAACTGACCTCCCTCCCACTATCCTCCGTATCGGCTTCATTTTGCTGTTTGTGGATTCTCTTAGCAAGATGCCGTACATCATTCCCACCGAAAAGTCGTCAGCAGAATCCAACATTGTTAAACTTTCTGTTGGCCCTACACTCGCAATCATCAGTTACCTGAAGTGCTCATTTTTACAGTGACCCTTGTATTCAGTTTGAATTATGACAGTAGCTCCACGTCAAGCGCGCTATACCCTAAGCCTAAGACCTCCAGAAATATGGAGGTCGTACAACCGTGCCCTGACAAAGACGCTTCGCGTTTATATTCATTCTGACGAGCAGCAGTGTACCGGCGGATGCAAGGGACAGCCCTTGCCACAAGGCGCCCAGTGCCTCGTAGAACGGCTGAGACAAGTGTCAGAATACACTGGAAGATTTAACTTGATGTGTGCTTGCAGCTAGGCTGGAGGCCTCATGCTTGAGCTGTAAGTTCCGGAAGAAACAGACCTTGTTCCACGGCAAGAGAAAGCCTGGGACAATGAGACCCCTACAGGCTGCTCGTGTGTGGAAGCGCATGCTCAGAGAGGCTCCAGGTGTGCACGTCTTTGGTTATATGCCACACTCAAAACTACACAAAAGCCCAAGGGAACTCACGTGTGCATTTGTGTGTCTATACGCCTACTGGAAGGGTCAAGCTGCATGAAGGCCCATGGCCACAGCACCAACTGGCCTCATGGAGTTGCACAGAATATTGTGTGGGAGAGTAGTGAGCGGGATAAATTCTCGTTTTAGCAAAGTGGTAATCTGTTGCTTCACTCCAGTGAAGAGTTGCCAGTGCGTGACCTTGCTGCTAAGAGTTTACGTCGCAAAGTGTACGAATTATGGGTTCCTCTACCTGTAGGGTCTGCTGTTGTCCAAAACCTA